GTTCTACCAGACACACAAAGAGGAACTGTTACATTCCTTCTGAAACTATCCCAAATAATCCAAAAAGAGGGAATCCTTCCCAAATCATTTTATGAGACCAACATCATCCTGATACCAAAATCTGGCAGAGACTCAACAAAAAAAGAAAACTTCAGGCCAGTATCCATGATGAACATAGACACAGAAATCTTCAATAAAATACTGGCAAGCCATCAAAAAGCTTATCCACCATGATCAAGTAGGATTCATCCCAGGGATGCAAGGCTGGTTCAACATATGCACGTCTATAAATGTAATTCACCACATAAACAGAACGAAGGACAAAAACCACATGATTATCTCAATTGATGCAGAGAAGGCCTTTGACAAAATTCAACAGCGCTTTATGGTAAAAACCCTCAATAAACTCGGTATTGATGGAACATATCTCAAAATAATAAAAGCTATTTACGACAAACCAACAGTCAATATACTGAATGGGCAAAAACTGGAAGCATTCCCTTTGAAATCCGGCACTACACAAGGATGCCCTCTCTCACCACTCCTATTCAATATAGTACTGGAAGTTCTAGCCAGAGCAACCAGGCAAGAAAAAGAAATAAAGGGTATTCAAATAGGAAAGGAGGAAGCCAAATTGTCTCTATTTGCAGATGACATGATAGTATATCTAGAACACTCCATCGTCTCAGCCCAAAAACTCCTGAAACTGATAAGCAACTTCAGCAAAGTCTCAGGATATAAAATCAATGTGCAAAAATCACAAGCATTCCTATACACCAATAACAGACTTCAAGAGAGCCAAATCAAGAACGAACTGCCATTCACAATTGCTACAAAGAGAATAAAATACCTAGGAATACAACTAACAAGGAACATAAGGAACCTCTTCAAGGAGAACTGCAAACCACTGTTCAACGAAATAAGAGAGGACACAAACAGATGGAGAAACATTCCATGTTCATGGTTAGGAAAAATCAATATCGTGAAAATGGCCATACTGCCCAAAGTAATTTACAGACTCAATGCTATCCCCATCAAGCTACCATTGACTTTCTTCACAGAACTGGAAAAAACCACCATGAACTTCATATGGAACCAAAAGAGAGCCCGCATAGCCAAGTCAGTTCTAAGCAAAAAGAACACAGCAGTAGGCATCACACTACCGGACTTCAAACTATACTACAAGGCTACAGTAATCAAAACAGCATGGTACTGGTACCAAAACAGAGATATAGACCAGTGGAACAGAACAGAGGCATCGGAGGCAACACAACATATCTACAACCATATAATCTTTGATAAACCTGACAAAAACAAGCAATGGGGAAAGGATTCCCTGTTTAATAAATGGTGTTGGGAAAACTGACTAGCCATGTGCAGAAAGCAGAAACTGGACCCCTTCCTGACACCTTACACTAAAATTAACCCCAGATGGATTAAAGACTTAAACATAAGACCTGGCACCATAAAAACCCTAGAAGAAAATCTAGGCAGAACCATTCAGGACATAGGAGTAGGCAAGGACTTCATGACCAAAACACCAAAAGCATTGGCAGCAAAAGCCAAAATAGACAAATGGGACCTAATCAAACTCCACAGCTTCTGCACGGCAAAAGAAACAGTCACTAGAGTGAATCGGCAACCAACAGAATGGGAAAAAATGTGTGCAGCCTAGTAATCTGACAAAGGGCTGATATCCAGAATTTACAAAGAACTAAAACAGATTTACAAGAAAAAAACAAGCCCATTCAAAAATGGGCAAAGGATATGAACAGACACTTTACAAAAGAAGACATACATGAGGCCAACAAACATATGAAAAAGTGCTCATCATCACTGGTCATCAGAGAAATGCAAATCAAAACTACATTGAGATACCATCTCACACCAGTCAGAATGGCAATCATTAGAAAATCTGGAGACAACAGATGCTGGAGAGGATTTGGAGAAATAAGAACACTTTTACACTGCTGGTGGGAGTGTAAATTAGTTCAACCATTGTGGAAGACAGTGTGGCGATTCCTCAAGGACCTAGAAATAGAAATTCCATTTGACCCAGCAACCCCATTACTGGGTATATATTCAAAGGACTATAAATCGTTCTACTATAAGGACACATGCACACGAATGTTCATTGCAGCACTGTTTACAATAGAAAAGTTCTGGAACCAACCCAAGTGCCCATCGATGATAGACTGGACTGGGAAAATGTGGAACATATACACCATGGAATATTATGCAGCAATCAAAAACGATGAGTTCATGTCCTTTGTAGGGACATGGATGAATCTGGAGAACATCATTCTCAGCAAACTGACACAAGAACAGAAAATGAAATACCACATATTCTCACTAATAGGCGGGTGTGAACAATGTGAACACATGGACACAGGGAGGGGAGCACTACACACTGGGGCCTATTGGGGGGAATAGGGGAGGGACAGTGGTGGGGGGGGAACTGGGGAGGGATAGCATGGGGAGAAATGCCAGATGTGGGTGAAGGGGAGGAAGACAGCAAATCACACTGCCACGTGTGTACCTATGCAACTATGTTGCATGTTCTGCACCTGTACCCCAAAACCTAAAATGCATTAAAAATAAAATTAAAAAAAAAAAGAATCTGCTTGTTGATATCTAAAAAAAGTCTTATGGGATTTTGGTTAGGAATTCATTTAATCTATATATCAATAGGGAAAATTATCTTAAGAATATTTTGTTTTCTAGTCCACAAAGATATTATTTCTCTTCATTTATTTAGGTTTTCTTTTTTCTTTTCTTTTCTTTTTTTTTTTTTTTTTTTTTTTTTTTGAGGTGAAGTCTCGCTCTGTAACCAGGCTGGAGTGCAGTGGCACAATCTCGGCTCACTGCAACTTCCACCTCTCAGGTTTGAGCAATTCTGCTGCTTCAGCCTCCCAAGTAGCGGGGACTACAGGCGTGCACCACCACACCCAGCTAATTTTTGTATTTTTAGTAGAGACGGGGTTTCATTATGTTGGCCAAGATGATCTCAATCTCTTGACCTCGTGATCTGCCCACCTCAGCCTCCCAAAGTGTTGGGATTATAGGCATCAGCCACCACATCCAGCCTCGGTTTTCTTTTATTCCTTTCATCAGCATTTTAATTTGACTGGTTCAATATTTTTTAGTTTTCAACATGTAGGTCCTACAGATAGATGTTTTGTTAGATTTATATCTAAGTATTTTTGGTTTTGGAGTTGTTACAGATGGTTTTGTTTTTAAATTTTTGTTTCAAATTGTTCATTGCTAATATAGAAATATTTTTGTATATCAGCCTTGTATCCTTTGACCTTACTAAATGCACTTACCAGTTCTGGGAGCTATTTTGTGGATCCCTTGTCATTTTCTATGTAAGTGATCATGTAATCTGAAAACAGAGACATTTGTTTCTTCCTTTTCGATCTGTATGCTTTTCTAATTTTTTTTTTTTTCTTTGAGACGGAGTGTTGCTCTGTCACCTAGGCTGGAGTGCAGTGGTGCCATCTTAGCTCACTGCAACTCTGCCTCCAAGGTTCAAGCGATTCTTCTGCCTCAGCCTCCCGAGTAGCTGGGATTACAGGCACCTGTCACCATGCCTGGCTAATTTTTGTATTTTTAGTAGAGACAAGGTTTCACCATATTGATCAGGCTGGTCTCAAACTCTTGACCTCAAGCGATACACCCACCTCAGCCTTACAAAGTGTTGGAATTATAGGCATAAGCCACCACACCTGGTGCTTTTTAGTTTCTTTAACCTGCCTTGCTGCACTGGCTAGGGCTTCCAGTATGAGGCTGCATAGCACCAGTGACAGTGGAAATCCTTGCATTGCTCCCAATCTTCGGGGAAAACTGTCAGTCCTTCTTCACTAAGTATGATGTTAGCTGTGGCATTTTGTAGATGCCATTTTATTAGATTAAGCTTCCATATAATCCTGATTTGCTGAGAAATTTTTATCATGGATGGATGTTGAATTTTGTCAAATAATTTTTCTGTGTCACTATCCTCTCATTTTGTTCTGTCATTACTTTGATTAGTTTTTGAATACTGAACTAGCCTTGCATTTCTTAGATAAACTCCACTTGGTCATGTTGTATTATCATTTTTATATATTGTTGGATTTAATTTGCTAATATTTTGTTGACATCCATGTTGATGAAGAGTATCAGTTTGTAGTTTTCTTGTTCTGTGGTGTTTATTTTTGATATCACAATAATGCCAACTTCAAAATGAGTTAGGAAGTGTTCCCTTCTCTTCTATTTTCTAGAAGAAATATGGTGAATTAGTGTCATTTCTTCCTTAAATGTTTGGTGGAACTCAGTAGTGAGATCATCTGGAACTAGAATTTTCTTTTTCAAAATGTTTTTAACTATAAATTTAATTTCTTCGACAGATACAGAATTATTCAAGTTATTCTTGGAGAGTTTTAGTATTTTGTGGCCCTTAAGGAATTATTTGGTTTTAATAAAGTTGTTGAATAAGTTTTGTACAAAGTTGGTCCAAATATTTTAATATTATCCTTTGAATGTTCATGTGGTCTGTAGAGATGGCCCCTCTTCCATTCCTGATAGTAGTATCAAGGTCTTCTTTCTTTTTTTGTTTTGGGCTAGAGGTTTTTCAGTTTTATTGATCTTCTGAAAGAACTATCTCTGTTTCATTAATTTTTATTTGTTGTTTTTCTATTTCCAATTTTATTCATTTCTGCCCTTTATTGTTTCCTTCCATCTACTTGTTCCATGAAACTGATAAAGATTAAAGTCAGCAGAGTTACTGAGCAAAACCATTTTAAAAATGTATGGCTTTTTTGTTGTAAAGAGATGGTGTCTCACTGTGTTGCCCAGGCTGGATTCAAACTCCAGGGCTCAAATAATCCTCCTGTTTCAGCCTCCCAAGTCACTGAGACTATACACACACACATGCCACTGTGCCCAGCTCCAAAACATATTTTTTAATCCATTCTTTTGAGAATGAGCCTAATAGTTTTCCATGCATTATCTCTTTGCAGCTGACTGGTCTGAGTGTCTCCAATGGAAAGGACCAACTTGTAGTCTTCCATACGAAAGACAACAAAGACCTCATTGTCTGCCTCTTCAGCAAACAGCCAACTCATGAGAGTCGAATTGGAGAACTTGTGGGAGTGCTGGTGAATCATTTCAAGAGGTAAAGTTTGATTTTTGTAACTAAGACAGGTTTTAAATATATGAAATCTTTCATCATAATTATCATTGAACTTGTATTATACCAATTTTAATGCTTTGAGCTATTTTTCTCCATACAACTTAAATCATCTGTTTCACAGAAGGTAAAATTAGCATCCCAGCTTACTTTGAAGATTAGGAATGCTCTTCTACTTTTCCAGCCTCCAGCTGAACCAACAATGAGAGATTTCCCTAATGGTGATTTTTTTTCCATTGCCGATCCAAATGTAATTAAATCCAAAAGATAGACAAATTACTTTATATTCTTCTCATCATAGCTTCTCATTTACTCCAAGTATAGTCAGTTTGTGTGTCCACTATGACTATAAGCAAATTAGAAAGCAGATTTGGGATGGCATGCAAGTGCATGAAGACTACAGGAATTCCTAAGAGAGGTAGTAACCACTGCAAAAGCATGGAGTCATGATGGAACATTGCATAATCTGAGAACTTCATATGGAGCCCTGATGATACATACGGGGTAGGGGGGTGAACAATGATATAATAAATATAAACAGAGAGCTGGTCCTGAGGGTGATGGGGAACAGTGAATGGATCATTTTAAGCAGGGGAGTGATTTTGTCTGGTTATTTATTGGAGTTGTTTCAGGGATTGGATTTCTATTCCCATAAGGGGTCTTGGGATACTTGAGTGGATGTGTAACTCCAAAGTCAAGTGCTCTCTTTGTGGCATACCGCCGTCACCTCCCCCAGCCCACCCTGATGGTGGGAGAAGACCACTCATCAAAATCAGTGACTGAGAAATGATAACGATTGTAGTTCCCTTTCCTTCCTAAAAGACATTTCCTGAGTTCCCAAAATTAATCAAGTATTCCTTATTAGTTTTTTTTTTTTTTTTTCAGTTTAGACATGGCTTCTCTTTCTCTCAACAAACACATATTTGGAATCAGATGTCCACATGTTTAATTCTATTGTGTTCATTTTTGCTAATATATCAAGCATAATTTTAGAGGTAGGCTGCACAGACCATTTATTTTATGTTATTAAACCTTGCATTCTAGATCAAAGGGGATCTTTATTTTCTATTATTAAATCATTTTAGATGCTATAAATAAAATAATACTTAATGGTCATATGTGGGGAAGAAATAAGAATCAAAGTTGTTACCAAAAATAATAAACTCACAGGCTTTTGAAAATTCCCTTCCATCTGCCAAATAAATATAAAGCTAAGAAAAATTTTAAAAGTTTAGAATGTAATGAAAAGACAGAAAGAAGGCATCTCTGCAATAAATGTCTATAACTCTAATAACCAGGCTTATTTTCCTGCTAATATTTAGTTACAGCAAAGTATGGAGAATTAAAGGAATTTTAATTTGTTACTCTTAATTTGGATACCAGTACTAATGAATGCAATAGTTTTTGCCGGGAAATTGAAGTATTTTATCTCTATCTGGGTGCTAATCTAGCAAATTCTAATCTATTAAGTGCCTTCTACAAGTGACAGAAATATGTGAATCTGGCCATAGATTTCATCACTTGCTTTCTTTTCCTTGCTAGCATATGCATGCTGAGGCACATTTCTAGGTATATACCTTCTATCTTTAATGTATGTAAGAATTTTTAATTTCTTTAAAATTTATCAATGTAAAGAGAAGACTGTCAAGGTGCTAGGATTATTTTGGTGGTCTTTTTTTTTTTTTTTTTTTTTTTTAATTCTTGATGATCCTGTCTGATGAATTAAGAGTGAAGTGGAAATGAGAGAGCAAATCTTTCCTCCCAGCCCCCAGAAAATTCAGGCTTGAAATTTTGACTTAGAGTTATAGTCATCAACTTACTATTGACTTTTTGAGAAAAGGTTAATTTGATTTTTTTTTTAGCTGTTTTTTTTTTATTGTCAATCGTATCTTTGGCATGACATTGAAATTCACATTGTATTTTATAAGCATAATGTTGTGGCATATAATCTTATTTGTCCCTGAGTTAATTATGGAAATCCAAAGGTGACAGGGAATTAACTTCAGAACAATTCTTCATCTTCCAGATAATTTCCCTAAAGTACATTCTGAAATGTTTTCTTGTCAGCAGTTGGGAGGAAAGGGCTTAAAACTTCCCAAGGCTGAGGAAAGAACCAGCTAAGAGGACCAGAGGGAACAGTGCCCAGCCTCACAAAGAGCCGGGAGTAGTTTCTGATCTAACATGGCAGACTACAGAGCTTTATCATTCACAGGATACTTGGGTAGAGTACTCAGAAGGGTTTTGCCTCAGTAGGGGGGAATAATTGGCCTAGAATAAATGCTGCTCTGGTGCCACCTAATAAATCTGAAAAGAAAGACCCAAAAGGATCACGCTGCTTCCAAGTAACTTAGTTACATCCTAAACCAAAGCTCATGAATATTTATAAAAATACAAAAATATCCATACCCAACAGGTAAAATTCATGATGTCTGACATCCAGTCAAAGATTACAGGCATGAAATAGGCAGGAAAATATAGTCCATTATGAGGAGGTAATCATCCCATTGAAACCAACCCAAAACAGCCAAAAATACTAGAATTAGCAGATACAGACATTGTAAATCATTATAACTAGATTTCAGATGTTTATAAATTAACTAGAGATCTGGAAGGTATAAGAAAATGACCCAAATCAAACTTCTGAATAAAAAATACACTGATGTTTGAAATGTTTCATGATTTAAAAAGAAAACACAAAAAGACAAAGCTTCTTCTCGAATAAATTTTTCCTCATCACCATGAGCTGAAGCCAGACCTTTCCTGGCATTTCTTTCACATGAATCTTGAAAGAAATTCAACTAAGTATAAATTAATCTCTCTTTCACTTCCTGCAGTCTTTATTCAACCTGGACCCATTATTTCTGCCTCGCCAAGTACACACCCACAAATTGGATGTTTGCTAAAACATTTGAAGGCAATCTTTAATAAAGTACAGGCATACCTCATCTTCTTGTTCTTTGCCTTATTATACTTCACAGATATTGTGATTTTTACAAATCGAAGGTTTCTGGCAACCCTGCGTTGAACAAGTCTATTAGCGCCATTTTTCCAACAGCATATATTAATTTTCTGTCTCTGTGTCACATTTTGATAATTCTCATAATATTTCAAAACTTTCTGTTGTTATTATCTGCTATGGTGGTCTTTGATCAGTGATCTTCGTTATTATTGTAATCATTTCAGGGCATCACAAACTGCACCCATGTAAGGCATCAGACTTAATTGATCCATGTTGTGTTCATTCTGACTGTTCCACTGACCATCTATTCCCCATCATCTCTCTTCCTCTTTTGGGCTCCCTTATTCCCTGCGATACAACAAGATTGAAATTAGGTCAGTTAATAATCCTACAATAGCTTCTAAATGTTCAAGTGAATGGGAGAGTTGCACATCTCTCAATTTAAATTAAAACCTAGAAATGGGTCAGGTATGATTGCTCATGCCTATAATCCCAGTACTTTGCCAGGTTAAAGCGGGAGGATTGTTTGAGGCCAGGAGTTCCAGACCGTGGTCTGCACAACATAGCGAGACTCCATCTCTACAAAAAAATTTGAAAATTAGTCAAGTGTGGTGGCATACACCTGTAGTCCCAGCTACTTAAGAGGCTGAGTTCAAGGCTTCAGTGAGCCATGATTGTACCACTGCACTCTAACCTAGGTGACAGAGCAAGACCCTGTCTCAAAAAAAAAAAAGGAAAGAAAGAAAGAAAAGAAAAAGAGAAAACTAGAAATTATTAAGTTTAGTGAGCAAGGCAGAGTTGAAAGCTGAGAATAGGCTGAAAGCTGGGCCTCTTAAGTTAAACAGCCCAGTTATGAATGCAAAGGAAACAGAAATTCTTAGGAAATTAAAAGGGCTAATTTAGTGAATACATGAATGAAAAAAAATGGTGAAACAGTCTTATTGCTGATATGGAGAAAGTTTGGGTGGTCTGGATAAAAGATCAAACTAGCCAAACATTCCCTTAAACCAAAGCCTAATGCAGAGCAAGGCTCTAAACTCTCTTCAGTTCTTTGAAGGCTGAGAGGGGTGAGGAAGCTGCAGAAGAAAAGTTGGAAGCTAACAGAGGGTGGTTCATGAGGATTAAGAAAAGAAGGCATCTCCATAACGTAGAAGTGAAAGGCGAAGTAGCAAGTGATGATGGAGAAGCTGTGGCAAGTTATTCAGAAGATCCAGCTAAGATAATTAAGGTGACTACACTAAACAACAGATTTTCAGTGTGGACAAAATAGTCTTACACTGGAAGAAGATGCCCTCTAGGACTTTCATAGCTAGAGAGGAGAAGGTCAATGCCTAGCTTCAAAGGACAGGCTGACTCTTTCATTAGGACTAATGCAGCTGGTGACTTTTAAGTTGAAGCCAGTACTCACTGACTGTTCCAAAAATCCCAGGGCTCTTAAAATTACACAAAATCTACTCTGCCTGTGCTCTCTAAATGAAACACAAGGCCCGCATGACAGCACATCTGTTTATGGCATAGTTTGCTAAATAGTTTAAGCCCACTGTTGAGACCTGCTGCTCAGAAAAAAAAAAAAAAGATTTCTTTCAAAACATCACTACTCACTGACAATGCATCTAGTTATCCAAGAGCACTGATGGAAATGTGCAAGGTGATTAATGTTGTTCCCATGCCTGCCAACACAACACCTATTGTGCAGCCCATGGATAAAGGAATAATTTCAACTTTTAAGCCAGTTGTTTAAGAAATACATTTAATAGCCAGGCACAGTGGCTCATGCCTGTAATCCCAGCACTTTGGGAGGCTGAGGTAGGCTGATCACCTGAGTTCAGGAGTTCAAAACCAGCCTGGCCAACATGACGAAACCCCATCTCTACTAAAAATACAAAAATTAGCCCAGTGTGATGGTGCACATCCATGATCCCAGCTACTTGGGAGGCTGAGATAGGAGAATCGCTTGAACCCAGGAGGCAGAGGTTGCAGTGAGCCAAGATTGCACCACTGCATTCCATGTTGGTCAATAGAGCAAGATTCTGTCTCAAATAAACAAAAAGAAAAAGAAAAAAAAACATTTCATGAGGCCACAGCTGCCATAAATAGTGATTCCTCTGATGGATCTGGGCAAAGTAAAGAAAACCTTCTGGAAAGGATTCACCATTCTAGATGCCACTAAGAACATTTGTGATTCATGGGAGGTCAAAATAGCAACACTAACAGAAGTTTGGAAAAAGTTGATTCCAACTCTCATGGATGACTTTGAGGAGTTCAAGACTTCATTGGAAGAAGTTATTGCAGATGTAGTAGAAATAGCAAGAGAACTTGAATTGGAAGTAGAGCCTAAAGATGTGACTGAATAGCTATAATCTCATGATAAAACTCAAATGGATGAGGAGTAGCTTTTATGTAAGAGCAAAGAAAGTGGTTTCTTAAGATGGAATCTACACCTGATGAAGATGCTCTTAACATTGAAATGATAACAAGGCATCTAAATTATTATATAAACTTCATTGACAAAGCACTGACAGGATTTGAGAGGATTGACTCCAATTTTGAAAGACATCCTATTATGGGTAAAATGCTCTCAAGCATCCTCACATGCTATAGAGAAATCTTTCATGAAAGCAAGAGTCAATCAATGTGGCAAACTTCATGGTTATCTTATTTAAAGAAATTGCCACAGCCGCGCCAGCCATCAGCAACCACCACCCTGATCAGTGAGCAGTCAAGACAAGACCCTCCAACAGCAAAAAAGGTTACAACTCATTGAAGACTTGGATGATCATTAGCATTTTTAGCATTTTTTGTTCTTCTTTAGTATCTGCTTAATTAAAGGAGCATTCTCAGTGGATTTAACTGAACACTTGACCAACTTCTCTATTACAGTTTGCTTATGTTCTTTTTAACTCACTTTCATTATTATTATTTTTAATTCAAGTATATACAGTATTTAGACATGATGCTATTGCACACTTAATAGACTACAGTGTACTAAGTAATGTAATGTAAAGTAATGTAAGCATAACTGTTATGTGCCCTGGCAAACCAAAAAAAAATGGTGTGACTTGCTTTATTGTGACATTCACTTTATTGCAGTGGTCTGCAGCTGAACCCAATATGTCTCCAGGTTATACTTGTACATTCCAAAAGGTGACACAAAGAATATATAACAACCAGTATGGCTCAAGCACAGACCAGTCAGAACAGACACCATCCAGAAACGCCTGATACCAGCAAGTCCACGCTGTATTCCACAAATCAAAAATACCACCATGGGGTGGGGAGACCCAAAGTCAAATACATTTAGGATATGCTAATGAAGTCAAATGCATTTCTTTTATTTCTTTTTTGAAATAGAGTCTTGCTGTGTTACCCAGGCTGGAGTACAGTTGTGTAGTCTCAGCCCACTGCAACCTCTGCCTCGTGGGTTCAAGCAATTCTCGTGCCTCAGCCTCCTGAGTATCTAGAATTACAGGCGTGTCCCACCACACTCAGCTAATTTTGGTGTTTTTAGTAGAGATGGGATTTGGCCATGTTGGCCAGGCTGATCTCAAGCAATCTACCTGCCCTGGCCCCACGAAAATTCTGGGATTACAAGCATGAGCCACCATGCCCGGCCCTAACAGGTTTCTTTACTGCAGTACTTCTGAGAGTCATTAATATGCATTTGTTCATTTTAAATGCAACCAATGCAAGAATAATAGAATTCTATATATTGATATAAAACCATTTCCAAATAAGTAGGAAATAAGGGCAAAGTACAGAATGGTACTTTGGTGTGTGTACAGTACAAATGGTGTGTGTTCTGTACCACCATTTGTGTAAAGAAGTTGAAACAAGAGATTAAAATTTTTTTAAATTTTGAGACAGAGTCTCGCTCTGTCACCCACGCTGGAGTGCAGTGGTACCATCTCAACTCACTGCAACCTCCGCCCTCCCGGGTTCAAGCAATTCTCCTCCCTCAGCCTCCCAAGTAGCTGGGACTACAGGCACCCACCACTACACCCGGCTAATTTTTGTATTTTTAGTATGGACAGGGTTTCACCATTTTCACCAGGCTGGTCTCAAACTCCTGACATCAGGTGATCCACCCACCTTGGCCTCCCAAAGTGCTGGGATTACAGGTACCTGGCAAGAAGTTGAACCAAAAGTTATCCATATCTATTACTAGATAACTATAAGCAGATATAGCTCTATCCATATAGGTAGATAGACATATAGATATCTCCTTACAGCTTTTTTTTTTTTACAAAAATAGTGATATGCTACACATACCATCTGTACTTTGCCATTTTCCCCTACTAAACAATGTATAGATATAGGTACAGATAGATATGTATACACACATATGATTATGTATAATATAGACTATATCTGGAAAGGTATTTAGGAAATGTATGTGTTTGAGAGAACTAAGACACTTCAGTACAGGGAGAAAGAGGTAGGAGGAAGATTTATTTTTCATAGTAAACCTTCTGTGACCAATATATGTGTTACCGATCTAAAATTTTTTCATTTTAATAATAAATGGCAGCTAGTTTTTAAGCATACGTGGCTCTGAATTCATTATTATTTTCCTTTCCTGCATAGAAAAGTAGAAAAGAACAAAAGAACTGTCCAAGTGAACAATCTCTCACAGCATTTCAATATCTTGAAACAATTCCAAGTGTAGCCTCTTGGAATATTATCTTCTATATGGTCTTGTATATATCACATGTGCCTAAGGTGAGGTTTCTTTTTTTGTGGTTGTAATGCCAGTGGTTTACAGAGGTTATGAGTGTGGGTGTCTTTTGGTTTGCGTTTCATTCTCAGCAGCAGCTACCTGCTGGTCCTGAGCTTTTCTGCCCACTACTAAACAGATGGTCTTACATTGGCTGACCTAACTATGAAGTCACAAGAAACTCTGCAGTATTAAGCTGTCAAAGGACCCATCTGCCCTAAGCAGCTGTCCAGGCATTTGCCTGTCTGGATGCTGGAAACCTCAGTATAACTCCAATTCCAAGCATTTAAATTTCTTATTTTTCCTGTTCTCTTTCTGTGGTTGAAAGCCAGAAATCAGTGCCATCTGCTTCTTGTTCTTCTTTAATATCTGCTTAATTAAAGAAGCACTGTTACCGGATTTAACTGAACATTCAACCGGCTTCTCAGTTGTAGTTTGTGTATATTCTTTTTAACTCACACTTAGAGCCATGGGGAGACTCATACTGATAAGCAGGCTATCAATTGGTGGCTGCACATTGCTGTCACTGTGAGGCAGTACAGGTGAGGGGCCAGGGAAGGTGAGGCCTCATGACCAGAGGTGAAGGAAGCAAAGGATGGGGCCACCTCCCAAAGGTCTCAGCGCCTGGCAGTCTCTGCCCAGCACGGCTGCTGCTCACGCCTGCTGCTGCTCCTGCGGTGAGGCCCCTGCTCCTCCCCCACAACCCTAAATGCCCATTGGCCCTTGATCTTTGTTCCCAGACTGCCCTCTTTGAATGCCTGGCCACTCATTTTAATAGTTTATATTCCATAAGCAAAATAAAGGTAGTTGGAAATCATGTCGATTGCCAGCTGTGGAGGACTGGTTGATAAATTTTGGTCCATCAAATTTAGGATATTTGAGCTATTTACAATGATAATTATTGAAGGCACCTGATTTATGGGGGCCAGAAAAGGGAGTGGCCACAATTCACTCTCCTCTGACTTCTGATAGAGATACACTTGAAAACACAGAAAGCAATGCCACCTTTCCACAGTACTGGAAACTAGAAATATGACTCAATCCTGGACCTGCTGAGAGGGGCATCCTTCACCCCTGCTCATATGTTGCCTCACCAGGTCTTCCCTGACCATCCTATGGAGAATAGCAATTCAGCCTGTCCCCATACTGCACTTAATATTTACACATGGCTGTCAGCTCCACCTGCTATGCTGTATCTTTACCTGTGTATTGTATGTATTCCAACTGGAATATAAGCTTCATGTGAGCAGAGACTTTATTTATATTGTTCACTGCTGTTTCCCTAATGCCCAGAACAGTGCCTGGCATGCAGAAGGTTCCCTGTAAATAACAGTTGAATACCCATTGTTAAACAGAGAAATGCTGACTGATAGGTCCCACTCACAGTAGAGTACTTCTAGCACTTCCTACTGATAGGTGCACCTTGCCCACCAGGAGATGGTAACTCAGTCCTCCTCCTGTATGAAAGAAAGGAAAAATTCTTCTAATAGTTTCCTTCCCTTTATAAATATCTCTTTCCTTTTTGAAAGTTATTTTTCTTATTGACACAATGATTATACATATTTATGGTGTACAGTGATATTTTGATACCTGTATGCAAGGTATAATGATCAAATCAAGGTAATTAGCATCTCTATCACCTCAGATATTTGTCATTTCTTTTTGTTAGGAACATTGAAAACCCTCTCTTCTAGCTATTTGAAAATATGCAATAAATTGTTAATTGTGACCAATTATAGATAGAATTACAGATGCAGGATTCTGTAGTCACCCTACAGTGCTAGAGAACACTGGAACTCATTTCTCCTATCTAGCTGTAATTTTGTATCTGTTAACCAACCTCTGGCTATCCCTGCCACTTGCCAGCCCTCGCACCACTATATGAGTGTCTGTTTTCTTGAATGATTCCAGGATTACAGCTCTAAGCAATGTAATGCCTGTGGGACAGAAGGGAGGGGGCATTTCAAGATATTAAATCAGCAACTAAAAGGGCTGTGTGCTGGAAGAGCCGTGGGCATGTTGTATGCTGGGGGCTGCAGCTTTCCATTCACTTTTCTTTAGCCACTACAGAACTGGAGATAATTTCAGACTCTCCTTATCAGTGAGCTGATGAGGAAGCAGGATATAGGAATTCCTACTCAGATCAGCAGTTTCATAATAAGTAGAAGACTCTGAAACCACAACTAGAGTCTGTGCACACAAGCCAGCTCTCCAGCTTAAAAAGTGAGAAATGGGTAGGCTAGAAGAAGGAGCCCCAAAAAATCCATATGCCCCTTTATGTAAGAACACCAGAACTGAATAGATGTCTCCTTAGTTGGGGTGCCTATAAAGGAAGATATTAACAGTAAGAGAGATATTGATATTATAAGACTTAAAAGAAAAAGCCAATTTCTGAAAATTTATATTATAGAAACCATCTGCTTATACTCTGAATAAAATTCAAGAAAGCATCAATTCTACATAAACAGGCCCAAGATTACATGGCAGACTGAGATGAAGGGGGTGCTGGCTGAGAAACAAACAAAAGTGTTCAATTATTTGAATGAAGTGAGGAAAGATATTTTAAAATGTAAATCAACATTAAAATCTGAAAATGGCACAGTTGATATTGCAGAAAATAGAATTGATATGAAAGAAAAGTTTGAAGTCTCAATGTGCAGAATCTACTGTTGGCAGCAACATTTTATCTTTCTTAGCAATACACAAAATAAGGGTGCTCTTACAGCAAAGGAATCTTATATTCAGTAAAATACGGTAATTTAAAATATACCAAAAGAAAATATGTATGTACTGAATGCACTTTTTCTGAAGCTCCAGAGACCCTACTTTGTTACCATGATGACCTTTTTTAATTTCAAGAATATTTTATATATATATATATGTATATATATATGTAACTCTCCAGCTTAAAAACTGAGAAATGATTTTGGCTACAAACAAATGGCTGTAAGAAAGAGCCACAAAGAGTCCATATGCCCCTTTATGTAAGAATACCGGGACTGAATAGATGTCTCCTTTTAATATATGTAACTCTTAATATCTGTAACTCTCCTTTTTTTTTTTTTTTTTTTGAGACAGAGTCTTGCTCTGTCACCCAGGCTGGACCGTAGTGGCACAATCTCAGCTAACCACAACTTGCGCCTCCCAGGTTCAAGCAATTCTCCTGCCTCAGCCTCCTGAGTAGCTGAATTACAGGTGTGAGCCACCACACCCAGATAATTTTTGTATTTTTAGTACAGACGGGGTTTTACCATGTTGGTCAGGCTGATCTCGAACTCCTGACCTTGTGTTCTGCCCACTTCGGCTTCCCAAAGTCCTGAGATTACAAGACTGAGCCACCACACCTGGCCATAACTCTCCTTTTATATATGACTGTGTATATAGTTAATCCTTGAAATTAAAATAATATGTATGAAACATACAGACCTGGGAGTGGAATGAGATTCTCTTACAAAGGAATAAAAATTAGCATCGCCTCCATCTTCTGTGCTGCAGCAGTAACTGCCAGATGCCAGGAGCAGCATCTTTAATCTTCTGAGGAGAAAAGGCTAGAAAGCAACAATTATACGCCAACCAAGTTGTCATTTGTGTTTAGCAGACAAACGAGCTTCAGAAAGCATGCTACTGGGGCTCTTTGGAAGAAGAACAGCTATGATCTGGGACTCAGATGCTGTCACAATCTCCATCTCTCATCTTCACATCTCTTGTCTTGCCAGCTTCACTCTCCAGCAGTGGTGTCTTCCACATGGCTGGAAATGTCTGCAAATAACTCTATATCTGCTTTTCCAGCCTTGTCACCAGTGGGAAATTAAAGGAATAATCTTAGAGCTATTGTCCTAAAACCCCAGGAAAATGTTTCTACCGACTCAATAACTATGGCCAGAATAATGATTGTCATGGCATAGGTAAGACGCCTACCCCAGTGACAGTAACTTTGGCCAGAGAAGTGGTATCTTCCATGAACTTGGAAGTCTCCAATAAAACCTGGGGAAGAGCATGTTTTGGAAGAGAGTGAGGCAGAGTGGGGCGTGAGTGATTAGGAACGAGGTGTGTGTGGGGCCAAACTTTCCGGAAAGAAGCAGAAGGGACACAATACTGGGCAAGAAAAACAAATGGTATCACATTGTTTTTAATTGTGAAAACATAGAAACCATATAAAAGTTCATCAAAATAAACATGGTTAAACATGTAATGATATTTCCATACAATTAAGTAGCATGCCACCATGAAAAAGACCATGACAGTCTTTCTGTTATCAGGTCTCCTTAAAGTATGGGCTGCATCTGCATTAGAATCACCTGAAGATGTTTCTTCAAAAGGCAGCTCCCCTGGCCCCATCGCAGGCCCTCTAAATCAGACTTTCCCTGAACCTACATTCTTAGTAAGTTACCCAGGTGATCCCTATGCTCAGGCTTGACAGCCACTGGTTCCATGAACTTACACAGAAAATAACCTGAATGAGCACATCATGTTTTGATATGGCCAAATTGCTGAAGCCATTGCAATGAAAGTAGATTTTTTGTTGTTGTTGTTTTAAATGAAATCCCCAAAGATTCGTGTTTTAAAATTGCTGACAAGTAAAGTGCAGAAGAAACATCCCCTACTGCCCCAGTGAAGAAAGGTGGGTTGGAAAGAGGGCTGAGGCTCAGAGAAAAGGGGTAAACAAGGAATGGAGAGTAGAAATGAGTGGAAGATTACAGAGAAATCACACAGAACCCAGATCCTGTTTACCACATCCACTTGTCCTAGAAAGAGCCGCCAGCCATTCTAAGCAATGGTTTTTAATTACCCTAAGAAGTTCGCAGTGAGGACCCACCTGCACTTCCAGGTAGGAAACCCCACCTGCAAAGAGCAGGCTTCCACATAATGAACTTAACCTATTTATATATACTCAGACCCACCTGCTATACACAAAGGAGTACAGAGAGAAATCTTAAAAGGTTTTCAGTGTGACTAAGCTGGGACAAAAATCAAACAGTGTTCAAGTGTAACAGCTGTTGTGTACTGTGAGCAATCTACTGACTTTCCATCTCGCTCTGTGCACAGTGCTGCCTGCACTGAGAAGCAGCTGCCCTTGGGCAAAGCTCCCCGAAAGGACAAGCAGGGGCACAGTCATGCTCAGCTTTACCTGCTTTAATGATGGGAGATTTTCTGGGGATTTTTGTGCAGATCAAAGATTCTTATTTGCTTTGTGACGTGTCCATCATTGCTTTTTATGTTAAAAGAGTGAATTCAAAAATACTGGAAAACTGATCTTTTCAGCATTTCCATTGATTATTGTGCCTTTAGAGTAATCATATCACTTTTTAAAGGCCACAGCTCTAAACTTTACAATGTATGTTAAAACAGAGATCTTCCTGTGAGGTATTCATGAATTCACCAAATGATTAGTGAATAATACCCTGGTTTGTGCTATCTGTTGGAATTTTTTTCTAAATTGAATGTCAGATATAACTCTAAGGCGATTTTTAAAAAGCTTTCTCAATGTGTTTATTTCATGTCTTAGCAGCTATATTGGAATCAGGAGTTTATATAAGCATAATATACTCAGTGAAGTGTTTTATCTGCAACAAACACTGTTCTATTTTTATACCACATTCAGCATGCATTCACTAGGCTCCCACCACTGGTCAGGCTACATGTGGTAGGAGGGATACCACGGAGGACCATGCAGTCCTTTCTAGTCCTTTCTCTTTCAACTGCTCTTAATCCCATGAAAAGACAGCATGTACATTATACCGCCGGGTATGTACCATAATAAACCATGAATAAAAGGCTGCGGAAGCACCGGGGATAAACCAGCCCCCTTTGCCTACCAGAGTCAGGAGATCCCTGGTAGAGCAAATGGATAAAAGGCTGCGGAAGCACCGGGAATAAACCAGCCCCCTTTGCCTACCAGAGTCAGGAGATCCCTGGTAGAGCAAATGATCACCCAGTTGGTTCTTCAAGTCTAGCTGAAGGTTACCAGCTGGGGGATGAGGTGAGATTTTCCCTAGAGAAGGGAGCAGAATATGCAAAAACTTGGTGGAGCTGGTACATTTGGAAAATTGGGTGATCTCAGGGGACCAGAAGGGCTGTAGCAAGAAATGAGACTGGAAAAATAAGTAGAAGCTTTTAAAAGCCCATGACAATGAATTTGAACTTTATCATATAAGTAATGGGGAGAAATAAGTATTAAAATATAAAACTGCACAACAAGACAAAGCCTGATGACACAGATACCACCTAGCCCGGACATGCTCAAGAATGCAAAATAACTGTTCACTTAAGGGAAGTGGGAACTTGAGGAACACCAGTTGATATGTTATACATTTGTGGATCCCACAGGCCAAAAAGAGTTAATTGAACAAAGAAAGAGCTAGCAAGATAGGAGTTACAAAGACAGGCATTAAATCTCAGTAATAAAACCAGAAATCAAAAATCCTCATGGAGTAAAAACTGTAACAAAATTCTTTAGCTTTTGTAGCTTCCCTGAAATTTGTTATTTTGCCACCCCTATAGTAATTAGCAATAAAAATCCCTAAAATGAAAAGGACCTACATTTATACCTTTAGGTATGTGGAAATTAAAGAAGCTTCCTCCTGTTCTATAGCCATTTGTAGGTAGAGAAGATTCTCAAGGGACAATGTGAATGATGGAAATGTTAAATTGGAGAGGAGGCAGGCTTGGGTGTGGGGCATTTATTGTCTGGTCTGTCCAGCAACCCCTTCTGGGACCTTCCTCTCCCCTGTCACACTTTTGCATAGTCCAATGAGAGGCAGCACATCCTTACATCGCCCTACTCCCTGGCAAGAGCTGAGCAGGCCGCAGGTGGTGTCTGACCCAACCTGGACCACTTTCCCCATCCTCAAGATTTTGGATCTCTGGATCAGAGAAGACTTATAATTCATTGCCTCTCCTATGCATGAAGTTTGGGAGCTGTGGCTCAACATGTTTCCAAAGGTGAAGATGCTGGTTCAGTAAGAGAGAACAGCATAGAGCATAACGAACCCACAGGGAGCAGCAGGACTTGAGGTGAAGCAGGACCTGACACATCCAAGCCCCAGGTCTGCTTCCCCAAGAGGCCGGCCACCTTGTGGTCATCAGACTGTATGCCCTTTGTTGATTTTTTGTGACCTGAAGCAGGCCAACTTGTCAAAAATGTGTTCATGGTTGACACTATTGTAGTACTGTACACTTGGAAATTGTTAGGAGGGTGAATTTTCTCTTGGGGGGGCTATGGGGTGCCACAGGTTGTGGTTTTTTTTTCTTTTTTTGAGACAAAGTCTTGCTCTGTCACCCATACTGGAGCGCAGTGGTGCAATCTCGGCTCACTGCAACTTCCACCTCCCAGGTTCAAACAATTCTCCTGCCTCAGCCTCCCAGGTAGCTGGGACTACAGGTGTCCACCACCACACCCAGCTAATTTTTTTAGTAGAGATGCAGTTTCACCATGTTGGCCAGGCTGGTCTTGATCTCCTGGTCTCAAGAGAGCCACCCATCTTGGCCTCCCAAAGTGCTGGGATTACAGGCTGAGCCACCACTCCCAATCTTTGCCACAGTTTTTTAAATGGATTTTAAAAATTAGTTCACCAAAAGTCAGTTTACCCAGTACCAGTTCATGGAATTTATAAAAATTTGTGAAGTTACCAAAAACTAGTCTTGAAGAAGATCCTTGAATATGTCCCTTCTAACAGCTTTTTATTATATGTTCAGGGTGAAAAAAACTAAGGCTCTTGGGTTGGGTTAGTTTTTTTTACTAAGTGGAGCAGAAAAATGGACTTCACTCGGGTCTATAGGTACGCTGTTTGCAGTTTATTTTGAATGACCAGAGAAGGACATCCTTCTGTCAGATGCTTGCAAAGAACTAGCAGTATGTGTGTCTTCTGTCAGGCATCATGCTCTTGAAGGAGGTCCTCCCAGATAGCAGTGTTAGCGTTTGACTGTCAGAAACAAGCAACCTACATTTCAGCTCATGCAAATCCACATTTTTCCTAGAAGGTAGCTCTATACACTTTCAAGCCAGCAACTGTCAAAATCCACAGATTTTAGCACTTCCCATGGGGATTTTAGCTTATCCTAAATTTTGAAATCCTCTTTGTTATTTTCCATTTGATATTCAGCTTTCTTCTATCAAATTTGCCAGATGACTAATTCATCTAATTTATCAAATTTATAGATTTACCAAAAATGTGTTTCTTTTGACTCTTTATAAGTATACAATCAGCTAGGTGAGATGGCAATTAATAGCTTTTGAGGATTTCTAGAAAGTTCTAATTGATTTTTCATTTTGTTTATATAACAACAGTTTCTGGCCCTGCTGCTGCAGCTGGAAGTAGCTGGAACAGAGGAGAGAGGGGAAGAAAGGAGAGTCTGTGCCCAGTGCATCTGGGCTGCCAATCCCACAGGGAAGGGAGGCTGAAGAGAAGAGGGAGCAGAGGGAGGGGCCCAAGAAGGGGTAAGCTGAAGGGCAGGAGAGAGGCTGACAGCCCAAGAACCCCAAGTATTCACAGCCCCCATAGGCCCTGCTAATTCATCCAGCAAAAAATGGATAAACAAAACTCAGTCTTGTTAAATATGCAAATTTGGTAAATTTGGCAAACTAATCATTCAGCAGATGACCTTTGGTGAATTTACCATTTGGCAAGTGACTCTTTTTTTTTTTTTTTTGAGATGGAGTTTCGCTCTTGTCATCCAGGCTGAAGTGCAGTGGCACGATCTTGGCTCACTGCAACCTCCACCTCCCGGGTTCAAGCAATTTTCCTGCCTCAACCTCCCGAGTAGCTGGGATTACAGGCACCCACTACCATGCCTGGCTAATTTTTATATTTTTAGTAGAGACGGGGTTTCACCATGTTGACCAGGCTAGTCTCGAACTCCTGACATCAAGTGATTCACCCACCTCAGCCTCCCAAAGTGCTGGGATTACAGGTGTGAGCCACTACTCCCTCCCTGGCAAGTTACTTTTTAATCAGTGAATTGTCCTAGTGCATAACAACTTCTCCTTTTTGCTTAAGCCATTATGAATTGGGTTTCTCTCACTTGCATCCAAGAGAGTACTAACTTAATGAGTCCTGGAAAAACTGGTAACAAAAATGAGAGAGGAGTACTGCTTGTTGTTCCAAGAGTAGGACAGTCATCACTGTTTAGAGAAAATGGTATCATTTATTAAAGGAACTTGTTTTCATCATACCCATCAAGAAATAAGTTTTTGAAACTAAGAACAAGCATTAAGAGGGAATTTAAAGCCCAACTAGGAAAAGAGGACTGCTGAATGCTTTATTCATTGAGACCTCCACACCAGATGACTCACATCCTGAGACACTGGAAAGCATCTTGATATGAACCCCCATTCACTCTCAGAAATCTTTGAGCAGTAATGGAGAGTGGAAAAGGGCCAGGAAACTGAAGGCAGGTAAACGTTTTCCTTGTTGTGCAAATGTGAACACAGATGCAAAAATTATAGTTATTGTTGAACCTAACATAAGTTTTCAGGACAATTCTAAAATAAATTGTTATAATTTATATGTACTTAAAGAAAAAAAGCAACAAAAGAAAGCATAAGTTCAATGAGAAGAAATTGGGTAAAACTAACACAATTTTCCCTAAACAGTGACTTTAATGAAGACATACTTACAAATTTCCATATAAGAAAAACCCAGCGAGGATAACTTACATTTTGATAACAGGTTAGGATTCAAAGTACCTTGACAGGCTAAAATAATGAGAAGAAACCACATAAATGTAAAATTCTGCCTCTGGGTTCAGAATGTCATTTACACACCTAGGGAGTAGGAAAGCCTCTGGGCCCATTCTGTCTCTAAGATGCTAGAATCTGTGATTCTTTCAGTCATACGCAGCACTGGAATGGAAATGAGAAACTTACCACTGGAGAAGAGAGGCAGAGATTGTTCTTTCAGATTAATTTCCTCCCCTGAATTTTCAGAGAATCAGGGACATAGTATGTTCTAGAGCTTAGAACAAGGACAAAGGCTCAGGAAATGAATTCATATGGTGTGCTCAAGTGTTTCTCTGAGGCATGCATTCCTTACCAGACCCTCTGCAAATCCAGGCTTCTCTAGGGGAAACGTTTGTTCTATTGAATTCAAAGACCATCCTCTAGCCGTTCTTAAAAAGGTAATAGCAATTGCTTCCATTAGCTTCTCTTTGACATGTAGAGAAATTATTCCAAGCCTCCTTTTATTCAATATTTGAAACCAAAAGAAATAGCTAACATGATATTTATGGTCAAAAAAATGTTTTTTGCACTTAATATTGTCTTATTTTTGGTCTTTTTAACTGTCTCAAAAATTATGGAATGTTGAATTTCCTATAATTGTTATGTATTATTGTATAACCAGAAAAAATCAGTTAGACTGCCCTTTCTTTTTTTTTTTTTTTTTTTTTTTTTGACGGATTTTTGCTCTGTTACCCAGACTGGAATTCAGTGGCACTATCTCAGCTCACTGCAACCTCCACCTCCCAGGTTCAAGCGATTCCCCTGCCTTAGCCTCCTGAGTAGCTGGGATTACAGGCGCCCACCACCACATCCAGCTAATTTTTGTATTTTTCGGAGTGACGGGATTTCACCATGTTGGCCAGGCTGGTCTCAAACTCATGATGTCAGGTGATCCGCCTGCCTTGGCCTCTGAAAGTGCTGGGATTACAGGTGTCAGCCACCGAGCCAGGCCAGACTGCCCTTTCTTGCAGCAACAAAGCAACTAGTAGCCAGTAAATTCGCATAAAATTTTCATAGTGGAAAAAGTAAGCTCAATCCATGCAACCATCGCTGGTAAGACAGAATCATTACTAAATGAAGCAAAGAGTTACATCTGGTCTTAGGAAGAAAGATACCAGGCCTAGAATATCATTTAAAAAATGAAAAGAATCTGAGGGCATAAGAAGAAAAGAAATTTAGATATAAAGAGGAAAAGGAAAGCAGCCTTACAGTACCGGATGATTCAGAGAACTCCTTGTCAGAAAAAAGGAAAAAAAAATGAGAGAACAATTGTTAAAGAATATTATATTTCTTGCTAACCAAGACAAATGAAAACAATCCAAGCCCAGCCTAGCTAAATTATGCCATCACAGTTAGTAACTTTTCACATCTGAGAGTTCTTTAGTGCATGGAAATTCTTGACCTTCTCTGCTTGGCGTATGCTTTGAATTAACAGACCTATTAGGAATGACTATTTGACAGGAAACAGACAAAGTGGCTTCTACTTCTAACTTTGCCATCAGCTAACTATATAGGGCTTTGAACAAACCAACATTTTTTGTCCCATAGTTTATCAAAAGGCAGCTCCAAATTTGTTTATTCCTTTAAAATACATATTTCTTTTTACAAGATGAAAAAAGTTCTGGGCCAGGTGCCATGGCTCATGTCTGTAATCCCAACACTTCGATAGGCTGAGGCAGGAGGATTGGGAGTTTGAGACCAGGCTGAGCAACATGGCAAGACTCTGTCTCTTCAAAAAAATTAAAAATTAGCAGGGCGTGGTGGCACGCAGTTGGAGTAGTATCAGCTACTCCAGCTCCAAAGGCCGAGGGAGGAGGATTGCTTGAGGCCAGGAGGTCAAGGCTGCAGTGAGCTATTCCAGCCTGGATGACAGTGTGAGACCCTGGCTCAAAAAAAAAAAGAGTTGTGAAGATATATTTCACAAGAATGGCAGTGGAAATATACTATTACTATTGAACTGTATACTTAAAAATAGTTAAGATGGTAGAAGAATAACATAAAAGTCATTGTTGGTTGGCCAGCATCATAGAAACCAGAATAATATGTTTCTTGAGGTTCAGTCACATGTCAGACATTTTAGGCGCAAGGATACAAAGACCAACCTCCTACCATAGGTTATTGTCTTATCAAGGAAACAAATGTGTAACATAGAATAAGTTTGTAGAAGTTATAAAGAAAGTGTTTTAAAGCACAGAGGTAAGAGTACATCTTTAGACAGAAGTGAGATTTGGGGGAAATGTCATCACAAATAGGTAGTATTTGTTCTGGATACTAGAACAAAGGAGGTTTCTGAAAAGTAGGACACAGCTGGACATGGTGGCTCACACCTATAATCCCAGCACTTTGGAAGGCTGAGGCTGGAGGATCACTTGAGCCCAGGAGTCCAAGGCCATCCCAGAACTGCCACAGATGTTAGAAATCACCAATAAAGACATTAAAATAATTATTATAACTGTGTTTTAACAAAAAGTTATGATGTACAGGATATCAAAAAAGGCCCAAATCAGCCAGGCACATGGCATATGCCTATAATCCAGACACTTTGGGAGGCTGGGGTGGGCAGATCACCTGAGCCCAAAAGGTCGAGGCTGCAGTGAGCCATGATTGAGCCTGGGTAACAGATCAAGACCTTGCCTCAAAAAAAAAAGAACAACAAAGAAAAGACCCAAATCAACCTTCTAGAAGTGAAAACTATGATGTCTAATATTAAACTACAGTAGCTGAGAGTAATAGCACATTAGACATTATAGAAGTAAAAATTAGTGAATTTAAAGATATAGCAATAGAAACTATCCAAAATGAAGCACAAACAAAAGATAAATTTCCAAAAAATGAACTAAATCATCAGTGAACTATGGGACAACTTCAAGTGACCTAATATGTAAAGGAGTGGTAAGTGAAGTCCCGAAGGAAGAAGGAGGACAGAAAAAAGTACTTGAAAAAGCAACAGCTGAAATTTTTCCAAATTTGATGAAAACTATATAAACACTCAGATCCAAGAAGTTCAGTGAACTCTAGGCACAAAAAAAAAGTCATACAAAAAACTACATTAAGGTATTTCACAATCAAATTGCTCAAAGCCATTGATAAACATTGCCAGAGGAAAACAACACATTATATACAGAGGAATAAGGATAAGATGACAGCAGATTTCTCATTGGAAACAATGCAAGCAAGAAAGCAGTAGAGAAACATCTTTTAAGTACTGAAGGAAAAACTCCTCTACCTACAATTTCATACCAAGCAAAAATAGCTTTCCAAAACAAAGGTGAATTAAAAGACTTTTCAGACACACTAAAGATGAAACAATTCATTCCTAGAAGACTCACAGTATGAGAGAAGTTAAAGTCCTTCAGAAAGAATAAAAATATTCCACATGGAAATATAGATCTCCAAAAACGAAGGAAGGGCACTAGAAATAATAGCTACATAGGCAAATTTATAAGATTCTTTCCTTGTTGTTTAAATCTTTTTAAAAAACAAGTTGTCTGTTTTAAAAAATAATAGTAAGAGTAATGTGGGTCAATTCATGAAGAAAACGTAGGAAACCTAAATATATATGCCCCAAAAGAATTTCAAAATGTATAAAGCAAAAACTAACAACAAGGAAAAATGGACGGATCTATAATTGTATTTGGAAATTTCAATTCTTCTATCTCCATAATTGATAGAAAAAGTCAACAGAAAATCAGTAAGTATACAGAAAACATGAACACTATCAGCTGAATTGAACTAGTTACCATTTATAAAACATTCTGCCTAACAGCATCAGAATACACATTCTTTTCAAGTGCCTATTTGCCAGAATAGACCATATTCTGGGTCATGTCACCGTTACAGTAAATATTATATAAAAGGATTCAAGATCTCTGAAACAAAATTAGAAATCAGTAGCAAAAAGATCTCTGGAAAAATTTGTAAATAATTGGGAGCCAAATAACATACTCCAAAGTAACTTATAGGTCAAAGGGGAAATAAGAGACATTAGTATTTTGAACTTTATGAAAACAATAAGATTTTAAAATTCATTTAATGCTGCTGAAGCAGTACTTGCAATACTTACATGGAAATATGTAGAACAATAAAATGCTTTTCTTTTAAAATGCATAGATTTTAAAAGAAAAGTCTCAAATCAGTGCCCTCAGCTTTTATGTCAAGAAAGTAGAAAAAGTCGGGCATGGTGGCTCATGCCTGAAATCCCAGCACTTTGGGCGGCTGAGCCAGGTGGATTGCTTGAGTCCCAAGAGTAGGAGATCAGCCTGGGCCACAAGGTGAAACCCCATCTCTACTAAAAAAAAAAATTACAAAAAATCAGCTGGGTGTGGTAGCTCATGCCTGTAATCCCAACACTTTGGGAGGAGGCCAAGGTGGGTGGATCACCTGTCCAGGACAGGTCAGAAGTTCAAGACCAGCCTGACCAACATGATGAAACCCCATCTCTACTAAAAATACAAAAATTAGGTTGGGCGCAGTGGTTCACACCTGTAATCCCAGCTCTTTGGGAGGCCAAGGAGGGTGGATCACCTGAGGTCAGGAGTTTGAGACCAAGCCTGGCTAACATGGTAAAATCCCATTTCTACTAAAAATACAAAAAAATTGGCTGGATGTGTTGGCACATTCCTACAATCCCAGCTACTAGGGAGGATGAGGCAGGAGAATCACTTGAACCTGGGAGATGGAGGTTGCAGTGAGCTGAAATTGTGCCATTGTACCCCAGCTTGGGCAACAAGAGTGAAACTCCATCTCAAAAAAAAAAAAATACAAGAATTAGCTGGATGTGGTGGTGCACACCTGTAATCCCAGCTACTCAAGAGGCTAAGGCAGGAGAATCGCTTGAACCTGGAAGCCAGAGGTTGCAGTGAGCCAAGTTGTGCCACTACACAGCCTGGGTGACAGAGTGAGATTCTGCCTCAAAACACACACACACACACACACACACACACACATGCACACACACATCAGCCAGGTATGATGGCATGCACATGTATTCCCAGTTACCTGGGAGGCTGAGGTGGAAGAAACACCTGAGCCCAGGAGGTTGAGGCTGCAGTGAACCAAGATCAAGCCACTGCACTCTAGCCAGGGCAGCCAGAGTGAGGCCCTGTGTGGGGGCGGGGGTGGAGAAACAGACAGCAGACGGAGGTGATGGGGGAGGAAAGGAGAGAGAAAGAGAGAGGAAGAAACTAGAAAAATAAGAGCAAATTAAACCAAAGAAAGCAGAAGAAAGGAAACAATAAAGGTCAAAACAGAAACCAATGAAATGGAAGTCAGAAAAACAATAGCAAACATCAATAGTACCAAAATAAAATTGATATACATCTAGTGGGACTGATGAGGAAAAGCAGAAGACACAAATTCCCAATATCAACATGAAAATGTGACATCGATACACATTCTATAGCTATTAACTGCATAACAAAGAAATGTTATACAACTTTATGCCAGTAAATTTTGGCAGCTTAGACTCCTTGAAAGACACGAACTATCAAAACTCACACAAGAAGAAACAGATAACCTGAATAGCCCTATGTATATTAAAGAAATTTAATTCACAGTTAAAACCTTCCCACAAGGGAAACTCCGGGTCTAGATGCCTTCACTGGGGAGTTCTACTATACATTCAAAAAATACCAGTTCTACACGAACTCTTCCAGAAAATTGAAAAGGAGATAATGCTTTCCAGCTCATTCTGAGGCCAGCCTTCCCCTGATACCAAACCAGACAAAAATAATACAAGAAAAGAAAACTACAGACCAAAGTCCATTAGGAGCATAGATGTAAGAATTATAAGCAAAATTTAGTGCATCCAATTGAGCATTTTATAGAATAACTAATCAAATCCAACAACATATAAAAAGGATAATAAATGATGACCAAGTGGGATTTATCCCAGGCATGCAAGGTTGGTTGAATGTCCAAAAATTAATATAAAATTCACCACATAAACAAACCGAAAAAGAAAATCATCTCCGTGGTTGCAGAAAAAGCATTTAAAATCCAACATCCATTTCTGGTGTTAAAAAAAAACTCTCAGCAGACTAACAATAGAAGTGGACTTCTACAACCTGATAAAGTACATCTTTGAAAAATCTAAAGCAAATATCACATTTAATGGTGAAAGACTGAATGCTTTCCCCTTAAGATTGAATTCAACTGTTGCATAATTTTGGGATAACTGGATTGTCCATTTTGGATATTTGCATTAATTGGATAATTTGTATTGTCATTTTATATTATCATGGTAGGAACAGTTTGGCAGTGTTTTAAGCTAAACATATCCCAGCCACATATTCCAGCCACTCCACTTTTAGGTATTTAGGAAAAATGAACACATTTATCCATATAAAGACGTACACAAATATTCATATCAAATTATTGTAAGAGCCAAAAACCAGGAACAACCCCAGTGTCCATTAGCATTGGAAGATGGATAAGAAAACTGTGTCGTATCCATATAGTGAACTACTACTCAGTAATAAAAAGAATGAGCTATTGGTACATAATACAACTTGGATGAATTACAAAATAATGTTGCTTAGTGAAAGAAGCCAACCTGAAAAGTATCCATTTATATAAAACTCTAGAAAATACAAACTATAGAAGCAAGAAGCAGATCAGTGGTTGTCAGGAGATGGAACGTCAATAGGGAGGGGCAGGAGGTAGGAATTACAGAGCACCACAAGAAACTTTTTGGGAGTGTGGATAGCTTGAGTGTAATGCTTGTTTCACAGGTGTAATATACATCTCAAAACTTGTCAAATTGTATACCTTAAATATGTGGAGTTTATTGTATACCAGTGGTGCCTTAATAAAGCTGTTAATAAAAGTGACTAGAATGTGGCGTATAGGGAGGGATGTTCAGGTAAGACAGGGCCATGAATTTTGCCTAGAAGAAAACAGCATGATGAAATGCATAAAGGAACTATTTGAAAATACATTAGGCCAAACATGGTTGCTCATACCCATAGTCCCTCCCAGCAGTTTGGGAGGCCAAGGCAGGAGGATCACCTGATCCCAGCAGTTTGAGATCAGCCTGGACAACGTGGTGAGACCCTGTCTCTACAAAAAAATTTAAAAATTAGCTGGGTATGGTGGCACTCACCTGCAGTCCCAGGTACTCAGGAGGCTGACACAGGGAAGGATTGCTTGAGCCCCGGAGGCTGAGGCTGTAGCAAGGTGATCATGCCACTGCACTCTAGCCTGGGTAACAGAGCCCTATCTCAAAAAAAGAAAAAGAGAAAAGATAAGATAAAAACACTGTCACTGTCCCGAAAACAGTGAGTAGCCCAGTGTGGCAAGGTCAAAGATTGTGTTGAGGGGAATGGCAAGAACTACCAGAAGGGTATGTAGATATGACCAGATTGTCAAGGAACTTGAAGGGAATGTGAATGAGTCTGAATTTATGCAAAGCAGGAGGAAGTCACAAAGGAACATAGAGTGAAAAGAGGGACCAGGATGGACCCCTAGGCAATTCCTACATTTAATAAATGGAAGGTCAAAATAGTAGGAGGAGACGTAGGGTAAGTACTCTCCCAGGAAGAAGACAAGGTCAAATGTCTTGGCATCAAAGGAGACCTAGGCCTAGAGCAGTCCATTTGATTTCGTGACCTTTGAAAGCACATAAAAGCATTGACGGCAAAAGCCAAATTGCATGATAAAATTAATAGAAAGATTAAATGGAAATATAGTCTGATCTTTAGAATATTAGCTTATCTCTTTCTATTCCAAATTCTATTATTCCAAACTCAAAAGCTTAATTGTTCATACTGTACAAATTCAGGAAACCCAGTTCCAAGGATCTGTTCTGTAGATGAGAACCTGAAAATCTAATTGTGGGTATGTCCTAAACACGGCCAGCTAATGCTGATTCCCAGATGAGCAAGGTTCTGAAGTTATGATTCTACTATCAGCTGAATTAGTAACCTTGTAAATGTGGATGTATGATCCTGAGAAGATGGGGTATAGTTTCCAAACCTTAAACACATAGGGATTCTGATATGCCATGCCCCTTGGGGCCCGCTACCTACATGACCCCTATGATTTGATGATCATTTATTGGGTTGAGAAAAAGAACTTAGGACCATTAACAAAGGGAAATATTTTTACCACGTAACTTATTTCATGTTTATGAGGTTTCAAAGCCATATTCTGCTACCCTCTTATATATAGATTCTGCCCACCATCTCTTCTGTTTTATAAACCTGGGCATTCTAATAGCTACCTCTAAGGTCTCTTTGAAATATGTTTCTGAACCTTGTAAGTTCTGTTGGATTCTCATTTAGGCTCTATTTTCAACTCTTACTACTGTTAGTTAAATGATAGCCATCTGTTCAGAAGAGCAGAACTCAAACCTGAAAGCATCCTTTCAGCAAAAAGAAAGGTATAAAAATAAACATCTCAGCACCTGACAAATGTTGACTAATTGTTAGATACTATATCTCTATTCAAAATCACTTATCCTGGCCAGGTGTGATGGCTCACACCTGTAGTTCCAGCACTTTGGGAGGCTGAGGTGGAAGGATCACTTGAGCTCAGGAGTTGATGACCAGTCCTGGCAATGAAGCAAGACCTAGTCTCTCCAAAAAAATAAAAAATAAAAAATTAGGCCAGGCATGATACCTCACGCTTGTAATCCTAGCACTTTGGGAGGCCAAAGCAGGAAAATCGTTTGAGCCCAGGAATTCAAGACCAGCCTGGGCAACAACCCCATCTGTATTTGGAAAAAAAAAAAAAAAAAAAGGCAGATAAATAGAAATGTAAAAATAAAAAAATTAAAAATTAGCTGGACATTCCTAGCTACTTGTGAGGCTGAGGTGAGAGGATCACTTAAGCCTGGGAAATCAAGACTATAGTGAGCCATGATCATGCCACTACACTTCAACCTGGGTAACAGAGCAAGACCTTGTCTCATTCATTCATAAATAAATGACCCTTTTTTAAAAAGAGGCAGTAGTAAATCAAAGCTGGTATTAGATTAACAAAATATGAATTTACCACAGAAACACATTTCTTAGGCACAAGGACTACCATCATATTATTTAGTCCAATTAAGGTTGTTTTGAGGCCAGGTGTGGTGGCTTACACCTGTAATCCCAGTACTTTGGGAAGCTGAGGCAGGTGGATCACGAGGTCAGGTGTTGGAGACGAGCCTGACCAACATGGTGAAATCCTGTCTCTATAAATATAAATATATATATAAAGGTTGTTTTTGATATCCTGAACAGTATGTCATACATTATTGATGTATTACAGAATTCTCTTTAGAGTTTTGTACTACTTCAAGAACTTTTCACCTTCCTTTTAAAACAGATTACAGTTAAATAGTCACAGTTGTCCTCAGAAAGCCTTGGTAGTTGACTTTAATGCAGATTCCTAAATATGCTGTCCTTTGTTGCTTCTATCTTAGATAGAGAAATAAGGTCAGGAGACCCAGGTTCCTTTAAATTTAAAATCTTGTTGTTTATAAAGTTGCCATCAGTCATAGTGCTTGGAACCTAAATAGCAAGTGGGGCAGAGTAGCAAGCTTGCCAGTTCTACAGAGTTCTTTGGGAAAGTAGATATTTTGACATGCTTCCTCTTTCTTCTCCTCACTCACCCCTGATCTGCCTAAGAGTGAACTAATTTTACTGTGATTTTGTTCTTGGAGTCTACTAATGGATTCCCTTTAGTAGGTACAAGGAGTCATGTATACAGCTTTAGTGGGTTTGAGGTTCCTGTGGTTTTGCACCTTCACTGTTGTCACATCTCTCAGATGAGGGCATTGATTGACACACACCAAAACAAAAAGATGTTCTCTCGACAAGAACATCTAGGAACCTACATTTTAAAAGCCTGTGTTTTCTTTTCTGTTGCCATGCAGTGCTAAACTCTGCAAGTTGACTGCCACTACAGGTAGTTGAGCACAGAATCATCTGGGTAATTCTGGAGTCTGTATGATGAATGTATTTCTGACCCATCAATCTAGCAGTCACCTCTCTGATGGGCAGGATCTAGGCAAACTCCAAAGAGAAGAAACAGGAGCCATTAAAAGCTAATGGAGGGAAAGCAAAGTTGGGAGAAACATACCCGGGAGGGAATGGTGGGATGAAGTCCATGGGATTTGCTGCATAAGATGAAAACAGGAGCAGATAGAGAACTGACTATGCATCTGATAGGACTAGTAAGATGGGTACCCATAAGTCACCACAGAAAATCTCTTTTCTTGTAGTATATAATCACACCACATGGAAAACTTTATTAAACCAAGCAAATTTATTGTGGATGTAATGAACTTTCAATAAAACCTCATTAATTTCTATTTTGTACTTTCAAAATTATCATCAGTAAATTAAAGGATACAAAAGAAATCAAATATAAGACTTTGTAGCCTGAGCTGCCTAATGATTTTTTAATGGATTGAGCTATATACAGACAAGGTAAATCAAAGACCCTCGGATTGGAACTACAGAAAGTACAAAGAACTTTGGCCGGGCCAGAAGGAGCTTCAGATTTAAATGCCTGCTAATTATTTGAGTTTTACTCTAGAATATTTTTATCATGCTTAGTGTTAGGTGAAACAGTACATAAATTTGGAATTCTTTTATCAAAATTAGTGCTTTAGGTTTGATTTCTGTATATCAACATTTCATTGCTTTTATTAGTAATATTAATACTTCTGATACTTCCTGTCAGCTCCTACGATTAGGTCAATAACTGTACATAAACCATCTTACTTAACCTTCAAAATCACTGTCTTCCAAAATAGACATATTTATCCTCATTTTAGAAATGAAGAACCTGGAGTTCACAGCATATAAATGATTCATCCAAGGTCATACAGCTAGTAAGTGACAAGCACAGACAGATTCAAACCCAGTTTTTCTGACTTCAAAGCTCATGATTCCTGCAAACCACTGTTTTTGTTTGTTTGTTTGTTTTTTAAGAAAGGGAACAGGAGTCTTGCTCTATTGCCCAGGCTGGAATGCAATCCAAAAATAGGTATCAAAAACCTCCTTTATGCCGATAATTATGCTCAACAGCGGAGACAGGAAGGAATAAGGGAAGAAAATAACAAACAAACAGCCAACCAATATTTCATTTAAGTCTGTGAAATGCTATGCAAATGCTGAAGAGCGATTTACTTCCAATTATGTGGTCACTTTCAAAATAGGTGTAATGTGATACTGAGAAAAATGTGTGTTCTGTGGACCTGGGGTGAAGAATTCCACAAATATTCACTGAGTTTACTTGTTGCAGGTCTGAGTTCAAATCGTAGATGTCCCTGTTAATTTTCTATCTTGTTGATCCGTCGAATATTAACAATGTGGTGTCAAAGTCTCCCGCTATTATTGTGCAGGAGTCCAAGTCTCTTTATAAGTCATTGTGAACTTGTCTTATGTATCTGGGTGCTCCTATATTGGGTGCATATATATTTATGATCATTGACTCCTGTTGTTGCATTGATCCTTTTACCATTATGTAATGTCCTTCTTTGTTTCTTTTAGTCTTTGTTACTATTAAAGTCTATTTTGTCAGAGACGAAAGTTACAACTCCTGTTTGTTTGGTTTTTTTTTTTTGCTCTCCATTTGATTGGTAAGTCTTCCGCCAACGCTTTGAGTCTTTGTGTGTCCTTGCTTATGAGATGAATCTGGATACAGCATACCGATGGGTTTTGACTTTTTATTCAATTTGCTTGTCTGTGTCTTTGATTGGGGCATTTAATCCATTTAAATTTAGAATTAGTATTGATATTTGTGAGTTTAATATTGTCATTTAATGCTCGCTGGCTATTTTGCCCATTAGTTGATATAGATTCTTCATTATCGAGATACTCTTTACCTTTTGGTAAGTTTTTGGGATGACTGATACTGGTTGTTCCTTTCTGTGTATAGTGCTTCTTTCAGAAGCTCTTGTAAAGCAGGCCTGGTGGTGATGAAATCTCTGAGTGTTTGCTTGTTCATGAAAAATTTTATTTTTCTTTCATTTATGAAGCTTAGTTTGGCTGGATATGAGATTCTAGGTTGAAAATTCTTTTCTTTGAGGATATTGAATATTGACCCCCACTCTCTTCTAGTTTGTAGGGTTTCTGCTGAGAGATCTGCTGTGAGTCTGATAGGCTTCCCTTTATGGGTAACCTGACCTTTCTCTCTAGCTGCCCTTAGAATTTTCTCCTTTATTTCAACCCTGGTGAATCTAGCGATTATGTGTCTTGGGGTTGCTCTACTTGAGGAATATCTTTGTGGTGATCTCTGTATTACCTGGAGTTGAGTATTGTCCTGTGTTACTAGGTTAGGAAAGTTTTCCTGAATAATATCCTGAAGAATATTTTCCAGCTTTGATTCATTCTCTTCATAACATGCAGGTATACCTATCAAATGTAAATTAGGTCTTTTCATATAGTCCCATATTTCTTGGAGACGTTGCTCATTTCTTTTTACTCTTTCTTCTCTAATCTTGTCTTCTCATTTCATTAAGTTGGTCTTCGACCTCTGATATCCTTTCTTCTGCTTGATCAATTTGACTGTTAAAACCTGTGCTTGCTTCGTGGAGTTTTCATATTGTATTCTTCAGTTCCATTAATTCACTTATATTCCTCTCTAAATTGTCTATTCTCGTTAGGATTTCGTCAAACCTTTTTTCAAGGTTCTTAGTTTCTTTACATTGGGCTAGAACATGTTCTTTTAACTCACAGAAGTTTCTTATTATCCACCTTCTGAAGCCTAATTCTGTTCATGGAACACACTCATTCTCCATCAGGCCTTGTTCCCTTGTTAATGAGGAACTGTGATCCCCTGTAGAGGGAGAGGCATTCTGATTTTGGGTATTCTCAGCCTTTTTATGCTGGTTTCTTCCCATCATTGTAAATTTATCCACCTGTCGTCTTTGTAATTACCAAAGTTCAAATTAGGTCTCTGAGTGGACATCCAGCTTGTTGATTCCCAGCGCTGGAATCTGAGCAACCCACTGCTCCGGCTAAAACAGCGGCATTAAGATTCATGGTGCTTTTCTGCCCAGCAATCTCCGATCTGGCTTCCTTCTTGGGTCTCTTTTTCAATCAGCTGAAAAGGCGACTCTGCCTTCCCGGAGCTCCAAACATCGACCAAAAGGGGACCCAGTCCCGTTTACCCTGCATCAAGAATCGCCACGCCGGGGCGCCGGCAAAACCGCCGCGCTGGCCACAAGAGTCACTCTGGCAACCCATGGGGCTCCTCCGCTGGGAATCTCCTGGTCCGTGAGCAACAAAAATTTGTCTGAAAGTTTGGTGACCTCTCGTTCTCTGTGCTTTCACTGAGAGCTACAATCCTGAGCTGATAGTAATCAGCCATCTTGGATCTCTCTCCCCAAACCACTGTTTTTATGTTAGAACTAGGGAGCCTGAACAGCTAGCCAGGGATATGCTTCTTGACTTTAAAAGGGCTTCAGCTGCACCTCACCTTTGTGCGCCTTTACTTTTATTTCCTCAATCTGTATCGTGAGCCCACACTCTGAAGTGCCAGGCTCTTTTTCTAGATAAGTTAGGTACCAAAGATAGAGCAATAAGCAAATACTATTTCTTACCACCCTGAATTTTCAAATAATGAAAAGCAAGTACAATGGTGATGTATGAAGGAGAATTAAATGCTGTGAATGAGAAGTTTACTAAGAAAATTGTTAGGAAAAGAAGGCTTGCAGAAAGACAATTAGCCTGATTTAGAGACAAATTTGTGAGACGCTATCTATATTTGCAAGAAGGAAAACTGAATTTCTTTACTCAACATACAGTAACTGAAACTAACTCACTTAATTTAAATTAGCTAGCTTTACAACATTTCATCTTGGGTACATCAATTTGAGTAGTCTTTGCCAGTAGTGATACAACTATGTGCTTGTATGTGAATTATCTTCACTTATACTAGATGCTAAAAGACAAGCTTATGTAAAGTACAGAGAGATAAGTATTGTCCACCTATAATTCTATTCTAGCCAAAGTATCAGTCAGGTATGAAATTTAAAATAGTAAGAGATAAAATATGGTCAGAGACTGGGTGCCATGGCTCATACCTGTAATCCCAGCACTTTAGGAGGCTGAGGTGGGAGGATTGCTTGAGGCCAGGAGTTCAAGACCAGCCTGGGGAATATAAGGAATCCCTTCTCTACAAAATAAGTAAATTAGCTGAAAGTGGTGGCACATGCCTGTAGTTCCATCTACTCAGGAGGCTGAGGTGAGAGGATTGCTTGAGCCCAGGAATTCAAGGCTGCAGTGTTTAGTGATCATACCACTGCACTCTAGCCTGGCTGACAGACCAAAACCCTGCCTCAAAAAAAACTAAAAAACAACACAGTTATAGCCTTTCACACACCTTTCCCATGAAGTTTCCTGAGGATATATTCCAGTAAAGTAAGGTAATAAAACAAGAAAGAAGACATGAAAGCCAAGACGTAGTAGATCCAAATCAAGAGAGAAATAAAGTCCCTGAGTGGCAGGCAGCTTGTGGTACAGACTGACAGAGCAAGAAGACACAGGGCTCCAGTGATCGGTGCCTGTGAAATGTGGGGATTCAAGGGATTTTATTCAATTCTAGACCATGGAAGAGAAAAAGCAATTGTATGTTCCAAGAAAGAAAATAGAACATATTTTGGGACATTACTTAAATAATGAGTAATAATTACAGGTTTGCAGGAATAATATATTATTTGATTTCCAACTTTTAGAATTAATCTTAACCAAAACATAGAAGCCTTAATTACGGCTACAGAACACCGAGTTGAAAATAGTCAATATTTTTTCATTGCCTTGTATGTGCCATGCATAGAAGATGGTCGAGATATAGGCAGTGAACAACACATTTCTTAAAGAGCTCATATTCTAGAAAGGGGTATGAATGCTAAACAGTTACAAATAAGATAATGTCTGGAGTGCTGAGAAGAAGCTGAAATAGGGTAACAGGAAAGAGCATAGCTAGGGAGAAGAGGTGGGTTTTGCTAACATGGAAAGCCTGTCACAGAGTGACCCTTCAGTTAGGGTTTGAATGATGAGAAGAGGAAGATCCAAGATGTCACCAATCAGAAAAGTAAAGTCCCTAAAATGAAAATAAGCTGTGACCATGGAAAGGTAAGAGCCTGTGTAGCTGGAGCAGAGTGAATGAGGGGAAGAGTATAAGAGATGGAGGTCAGAGAACCCCTAGGCCAGATCATTTAAAGCCTCATGGGTAATGATGAGGGGACTTTTTAATAAGAGATTTTTTTAGCAAAGGGAGTGATGTGATCTAACTTCTGTTTCTGAAAAATCACTCTGGCCATTTTGTGGAGCGTGGATTATAGCGAGACAAGAGGGTGGCTGGTCCTAAAATTAGAAGACAGTGGCTTGCATTGACATTTTAGCCATGGAGATGGTGAAATATATGTGGAGGCAGAAATGATGGGACTTATGTGGGCGAAAGGGAAAGAGAGGATTTGTTGGTGGCTGGAGCATCTGGGTAGTTGGAGTAGCACTGGCTGAGAGTGGGGTACTTGGGAAAGGAGTATCTTTGGGAGGTAAAATCCAGAGGTCAGTGTTAAAGGTGTCACAAAGGAAGCAGTCACATCCTCGATGGTGTAGAAGTACAGCTGGGGAGAGGGGGGCGAGGGGGAGTAGAAGTGCCAGAAGGAAGGTGGAGATACTGGCATCCGCACCTTAGAAAATGAGGAATACAGAGCGAGTCTCTTGTTGATGGAACAAAAGTAAAGGATACATATGTTACTTAATGTGATCACGAAGTAATATAACTATTGACAAAGTTAGAGATGAGGAGGAGAGCGGGGCATTATTAGTAATGTAAACCTACATCTGTTATAGAAGGAAGTTGGTGGATGATATCTCAAGTTGATAAATTCATAAAGGCAGTATAAGCCTGTTATTTACTGTTTGGAGTTCACCATAACAAAGGGCTAAAAATAGAAGCAATTTAAAGCAAGCATGAAAGAACCAGCAGTGCGTTAAGGGACTGTTGCTTTTCATTTTTTTCAGTCCTCTGCCTGGGTTACTTTGTTAGAGTAAAAGGGTAATATTCTTAATTGCCTTGACAAAATCAGATTTTCTGGATGTGGAATGGAAATGCTTTTTGATTTCCCAACATTAATGGAACAAGGAGAGAGGATTTGAAAGTCTTATTTCTTCAACATACCACCAAGAAGTTTTCGTTTTCAAATATGCTAGAAAGTGGCAGTGGATATACTAGCAGATGTCAAAAGAAAAGTTTACTTCCTTTCTTGACTTATGGAAGTTTCCACCCTTTTAATTTAAACCCAGTTCTGGGTCCTCTGCTACCTTCTGGAGAACAAGGGATTATCAACCCGACCCCACCTGAATTTATAGTTTTTCTAGGCCATATGGCAAATTTAATGGAATTGCAAATTCCAAGAAAGAAGGAAAGGCTTTCCAGAAAAGGGAACAGCCCAGGGGAGCAGAGGAAAGGCAGCAGCAAGAATAGACTTTGGAAACCTCCAGTGGAGGGAGGGCCAGTGGTGTGGGGTGGTTGTGGGGGTTGTGGGGGTGTTGCCAGGGTGTATTTTAACCAGAAGAGTGTGGTCAGTTTTTGACTACTTACCAACCAATTAGATTTTCTCTACCTGTTCGTTGCCTGCTTCCACACTCCACTCCCCCACACCTGCTCTTCCCTCCTGACCACCCTGCATCCTCTCAGCCCAGCAAGCCCCGCGCATACTTCCACTGACTACCTACTCTAGCACGAGTGGTAGAAAGGTCCTTTAAGATCTCTCTTCCAAGGGCCCTTCTGTGTGTGTGTATTTACTTTCCCTCCACTCTCCCATCCTGTGACATCTGAGTCCCATTTTAGTCACCGCTTCCCCCCTCACCCTTCCCTCATGGGAGCCAGCCTTCCATGACCTCAGGTGGAACTAATCTGTCACTTCTTTCTCTTACCTTCTATTCCCCGACAACAGACATGTGCGTTTTGTGGCATAGGCTCATGGAAGATTATCTGTAGCATGAATATACACATTTAGCGTATGCATGTAAGAAACAGGAATGCTGTATTAAAAACCCATCCAAGTTTCCTGTCTCAGACCCCAGAACTTGGCATTGTAGAATCCATTTGTGCAGACTAATCGGATCAAACTGGGATGTCACAGAGTTTTTAGAGGTTCGTGAACTTTACAAGAGTAGCTTTGAAAGGAGCTTTGAAAGCATGAAGAGTGTTTGTTAGAAGAGGCTTAAAAAGTGTGATAACCTCGGCTTACCATGCATGAGGGTTGATAACAGGAAACAATCCTGTACTTCTACAACCAAGGAAGTTTGGTCAAATATAAGGACAAATTTTTGACTGTCAAAGACTGATTACATGATGGAAGACTCCACATTGTTGCTTTTTATCCTCAGCAATACCTAAGAATGAAAGCCTTATTGTTGACAAGGAGCAGGTCAGATAACTCCTCGAGGGCCTTCTGGTTCTGGGTTTGACAGTCTCTCATGGGCAATTGGTGAGGGTGAGGCATCATGAGACTCTGGGGCTGGGAGGAACTTAGAGATTCTAGCGAATTCAGCACAGTGGTCAGATTTAAACAGAACTCAGCCCTAACTGCTTTGAAAGACCAGCAGAGGAATATATTCCACAGTTTCCTTGGTGATTTATTTAATGATCTTAAACATCCTGCTCAGGAAACTTGGTCCTATTTCTAACCAAAACTGCATCTGCTATGGTTTCTTCTAGTTCTCAGGGACTGTGGGAAGCAGCTGTCCCCGTGTAGTTACTCGCCCTGTGATAACTTCACACACTCACCTCTGACCTTTTATCTCTCCTTTATTCCCGGATCTTATTTTCTGACTCTGTAATTTATTCAAATTATACGTGCTAAAGATCAGCAACAGTTGAAAAACTCTCAGAGTAGGATGACTACTGTGTTGTGTTTACTTCCTCACTCTGTAAAGCAACTGGAAATTCAGATTTAGCTAGAGAGGAGAGTTATCAATCATTGCTCATCTCTCCAAGATTCATGCTTTGAGAGAGAAAAGGTATTACGGAGGCAGGGAATTCACACTCCTGGGCGTGTCCCATTGCTCATCCAGTGGGAGGTGACGGTTCCCAGTCTCAGTCTGGGGCACTTCCTTTCACTTCCCCTGGGTGTTCACCATCGTGCGGAACAGGTTAGATGGGGAAGAGCTGCATAGGAAATTCATACAGTGTCTTTTGTGTGGCAGATACTATTACAGATGGGTCGTGCAGGTCTGAGAGCACAACATTCAAGTTAAAGTACAAGAGGCCTGTGCGCCTTTGGGCCCCGGGTAGCTGCAAACACTTCCTAGATTAGTCAGAGCTTAGCAGTCTCAGCGTCTTGGCCTACAGCAGTACTATCCCCCATGAACAATGGAAGTGAAATATGCCCGTTGCTGTCTTCACCCAGAGAAAACAGCTTGCTCATATAAGACTACTTCTTCCATACACTCACTCACATGGAAATCAGCCAAAGTTTCTATGATACCAGGACAGTCAGCAATTCTGCCATAAAACATTTTAGTCAGAAATATTTAGTTTTCTTCTTCATTCCAAGCTTTAATCAAAGCTTATATATAAGATTACTTTATTCCTGCGTCTTCCCACTGGTTTCTTTCTTGTATTTGCCCTTTTCCTTACCTGCTTGGCGAGATTTGGCTTTCTGTTCAAGGATCTTTTTGCCGTCTTTGTCCAGTTTGAGCCTAGTGATAACCACCTGAATGTCATCATCCTTTTGGACGGGCATGGGTCGCACGTTGTTCTTCTGTCTCAGCTCTTTGGAAAAAGGGGAAGACATAATCTTCCTGCGAATGTGGGAAGGTGCATTGAAATGCCAAAAGCATTTCACAAAGTGATTGAACATTTTGGCCGCTCCCACTTAGGTGATGGCCGCAAAAGGCCATAAGCATTTATTTACAACACAGACCTCAGTGTATTTATTTAAAAGGTACAGATTATCTAGTCGTGGAATTTATTTATTATCAACTGACAGTTTCTGACCACTTAGAATGTGTGAAACACTCCTCTACATATTGGGGGTAGCCACAAGGATGACTTAAACCCCCCCAACCTCAAGGAGTTCACCGTCTAGAGAGAGCAATAAACAAAAACAAATGATGACTGTGCCCAGTCAAGGTGCACAGAAGCACAGAGGCTGGGCCTGTCATTCCAGGGACTAGGTGCACAGAAGCATAGAGGCTGGGCCTGTCATTCCAGGGACTAGGTGCACAGAAGCATAGAGGCTGGGCCTGTCATTCCAGGGAGTAGGTGAAACTGCTCTTCAAGCTGCTTGGAAGTGTGTACTCACTCTTCCAGAAGAGAAGCTAGAAGGGCTGACGTCTGGGACAAAAGCATGAGAAGGGCAGGCCCCTCTCAGAGGCTGATCTGGGTGGAGAAGAGTCAGAAAATGTGAGTTCAGTTCAGATTCCCAAAGACCTTCTATTCTGTGTGAGGTGACCACAGATCCTAGTCTGCCTAGGTTTATGCCTGTTGCTCCAACATAATAATCAGTAGACCTGCCTCCTTTAATTCTCAAGAGTGTCCCAAATAGATAAGTCCCACAAACACCTGACTTATACAGCTCTGCAGAGGGGCTTGATAGGTTTTATAAATGAAATGAATGAATCAGATATGTGTCCTGGAAAGATAACTCCAGCAGCCATGAGTGAAACAGTTTGCCAATAGATAAGACTAGAGACGGAACCTCTCCATACAGAGAGAAGTAGAATTAGACATATTCGCCTTGAAAACTAATAATATTCTAAACACAAACTTGCCTAAATGTTGATTATAAAATTATCTCTGCTCCCAATGACAGTTTTTTGAACTGTGTCAAGTTGTGTAGATGTTCTGAATGTCTCAGTAATTTTCAGAAATAATGCTATCTGCCTGTCACCAGCTTTCTTTTTTTTTTAATATCACAGAAAGATAAAGAGGATTCTGATAAATGCTTAGGGGGAAAAAAATCTCAAGACTTTTTGGGAAAAAGGTCTGAGTGCTGCAGCGGAGCTCTGATCACCTGGGTTTGGTGCAGAAGTGTGCGTGACCTTTTTCTAGGAAGCTGCTGCTGACATGATTGCAGCATGCCTTTCGCATCGTTTTGCTAGTCCTGCAAACAGGTTTCACCAAGCCACCCACACTTCCCAGCCATCTTTTCTGAAACTACTGAATGCACCTCTGAGATGGATTGGGGTGTAGTCTCCAAGACACAAAGCTGAGTTAATTAGACATGGAGACTGAACCTGTAACAGTGGCCTCATTAGCAGCACTGAACTACCCAGACACAGCCTCAATTATGCAAGGCACTTTTGGTAAGATGCTTCCTGTAGGTGTCTTTCTGTGCACATATCTTCCTTCTTCCAGGGCTACTTAGACTTGATGACTAAGAATGATGAAAGAATGAGACCCCGCAGTGGCCAAGTCATCCTGAAGGGGCTGGCCATGGCTGGAGCCCAAGTTCTTAGCTTGGTACGTTCATGCTTAAGAAGCCACACAGCAGGGCAGAGAGAACACAGGGTTTGGAGTGAGATTGGTCTGGGTTTAAGTTCATCCCTGCTACTTACTAGACAAGAGATCAGGTGTTATTTAACCTTTGTGTACCTTGTTTCCTTCCCAGGAATGTGAGGACATTGCCTGCCGTACCTGGTGATTGGGTTTGGGTTAACCTAGCCAAACACCCAGCACAGGTGTGGCACATGTAGGTGCTCAGTTGACGGTGGCTGATTTCATTACTATTGTCATTGTGATTCTTACCAAATAGATTCTATTCAAATACATTCATTCACTGAGTCAGCATCATTTTTTTTTTCTGAGCACATGACACTTGCTGAGCAGTGTTCTCTGCCCTAGGGATATAGCCATGAACAGGATGAACAAGGTTCCTGTCCTCAGGGTGATTAGACAAATGCTCTAATTCAGCTCTTCTTTTTTTATTTTCTGCTCAAATTATTGACTTCTGCCACCCCTTGTTTGCTGCCCTCTCCTAGCATCCTCTACCCGCAGCCAGAAGCCTGTGTTTCCTCAGTAGCTTTGCCCTGTTAACATATCAGAGGCCAGCAGCCACATCATCTGTTCCTTTTTGATTTCCTCCATTCTGTGAACATGGCTGGGGCATAGGCTTCGGACTCAGCTGTCCTGCCCGCAGTCCCAGCTCTGCCTCTCCCACCTATACAGAGGCTCCCATTCCTTTTCTGAGTTGTTGGAAAGATCACACATATGTGTCTCAGAGGCTTGGTACAGTGCCTGCCTGATTTGGTTAAAAAGAAGCTTAAAAGGAGAAAGACCAAAGAGGGGTCAAGTTGCTTTTTAAAGCACTTTTTGAAAGTTTGTGTTTGAGGCTTCAAAAAGATTACTAATTAAGTTATTAGAAGTGCTCCCTGTGATTAGGACAACAACCGTAACTAGTGCCATGTTACTACTATTAATTGATTCTATTTGGTCCCAATTACATGAGTCAAAAAATGTTTTCCCAACTGTGGTTGGACTCAGTTGACTTTCAAATCATATCACTCCCCTCCTTCAGTGGCTTCTCAAGATCAGATCTGAGGTCATTTCCACTGCCCACATGGTGTGGCCCACCTCCTCACTCTGCATTCTCCTGCGCTTACCTGCAGGCTTACCTGCAGGCCACACCAGCCTTCTTTGACTTCCTCAAGAAAAGCCCCTCACTGCCTATCTCAGACACAGCTCCGGTGCTGTACCCTCTGCCAGGAATGCTGTTCCTAGCATCTTCCCCAAACCCCCATGCATCTTCCAGGTTTCAGCTTAAATGCTACTTCCCCAAAGAAGCCTTTTCCTGACCCTCTCCTCAAACAAGTCTAAGTCCTCATGTTAGTGTCATCTAATAGCACACTGGTTTTCTCCTTCACAACACCACAGTTGTAATTAGTTTTTGTATAATTTTTTTCTATTTAACATCTGACACTTTCAGGGGGTTCTAAGGAGTCCATGAGGGGAGGACTGTGTCTGTCTACCAGTCTAGAAGCCCAGGAACTATGTGTTGAATGAATATATAGGAAGCTGTAGATGGATTTCTTCTCACCGAAAGTATTCAATCTTAAATAGAAACACTGTCTGAAGACTGGGTGTGATGGCTCGCATCTGTAATCTCAGCACTTTGGGAGGCCAAGGTGGGCAGATCACTTGACGTCAGGAGTTCAAGACCAGCCTAGCCAACGTGCCAAAACCCCATTTCAACTAAAAATACAAAAAAAAATTAGCTGCATGTGGTGGCATGCACCTGTAATCCCAGCTACTTGGGAGGCTGAGGCAGGAGAATCACTTGAACCCAGGAGGGGTTGCAGTCAGGTGAGATCTCACCACTGCACTCCAGCCTAGGCCACAGAGGGAGACTCTGGTGTGGAATTGACCTTCATATCTGGACTTCCTGTTCAGATACTAGTGGTAACAAAGTCATTACTTGATAATGTTTACTGATGGCCATGACCTAGCTCAGTTCAGTCCTGAGTAGATGGGCATTCACAGCAGCCACACTATCACTGGCCATATGAAGACTGGCCACTCTTGAGAGCAGAGGTGACAAAGCAGATGATCACGGGCTAAGGGCTGAATAGATTCCAGAATCTGAGCAGCCACTCTCACCAGGTTATATCTCCAGGGTCCAGAGGTGATGTTTTAGGAAGATGGAGATGGGAGCTGCATCATAAAAGTGAGTGGTGCCAGGAGGCCTTCTGTTGCTACAAGGAAGAACCCTGTCTTTCAGGAACAGGTTTCACACATGAAAGTATTTTCTTCAGGCTGGGTGGGATGGCTCACACCTATAATCCCAGCACTTTGGGAGGCTGAGGTGGGCGGATCACCTGAGGTCAAGAGTTTGAGACCAGTCTGGCCAACATGACAAAACCCCATTTGTATTAAAAATGCAAAACTTAGCCAGGCACAGTGGTGTATGCCTGTAGTCCCAGCTACTCAGGAAGCTGAGGCATGAAAATCACTTGAACCCAGGAGGAGGAGGTTACAGTGAGCTGAGATTATGCCATTGTACTCCAGCCTGGGTGCCAGAGCAAGATCCATCTCCAAAAAAAAATATATTTTTTTTTATAATGAAATTATGTCTAGTTGTATGCATTATGAAGTAGGAAGAGTTGTCATCAAGGCTGATGGACTGTTTTATGTAATTATGAGATAGGGTATGCTGTTTCTAGAATTAACACAGATTGACCTTTGTAAGAGTGACCACACAATGCAGACAGGCCTGATGGGGATTCATTTCCATACTGTCCCCTGTAAAAACCACATGGCTTGGAGCCTCAGTTGACGCCTTAGAGTTAGAGTTAAAGGTGCAACTATGCAGAAGGGCTTCCAGCTCTTTGTTAGGTCTTGTGGTCACTGCTGCTTTTCCACTTCCTCTGTAGTTGTCTGTATATTTAATCCATCTCCCCCATTAAACTGCAGGTTCACTGAGAACAGGAACCATGTCATAAATATATTTGACTCATCCCTAGCACCCAGCACAGGAAACACTAAATAAATACTGAAAGAGGGAAGGAAGGAAAGCAGGTAGCTCAGTAGGCTCTGGTTGAGGGAAGGGAGGGTGCGAGATTCACCCTGGGCTGTACACTATGCTCCAGCACTGACTGTAAAGCCACTTCATACTTGCTAAGTAGAGGGTGTCGGCTTAGAAAGGAAAGGGACTGTGGGCTGACTGAGATTTTCCCAGGTGACACTGTGAAAGAAGCTGATGTCAGCTTCACATCCAGACTTGTGTGAGTAATTAGAAACTTCAGAGGAAGGGTGAAGAAAATCTGCCTGCAAGTTAATAGCCCCCTTCTCAGCCTGTATGGACCAATTCATGAAGTGGAAGAAGCAGAGGGCACAAGGCTCTATTCCCTGGTTAGCCTGGGCTCTGCTAACTGCCCCCAGGCAGGGCTCCAGTACCTGTAGGGTGGGGACTCCACAGGGGTCTTTGGAAGCCACTGTTACAAAGCAGAATTACTTATGTACATTATCTGCTGATTGTCAATGGGCAGGTTGGAGGCAGCAAAGCAGATTTTAATCAATTGTTGATCTATCTCACTATCTCCTGCTACTTACATATTCCCATGCAGCCTTTAGCCCAGCAAGAATTGTAGTTAACCAAGATCAGCATCATACTGAATCAACAGAGAGTTTAAGAAACTAAATACACTAAGTCAAATCTTTAGTAGCTTATCTTAAACCAGTATGTAGCAGTCTGAGGTGTGATTAAATGTCACATGTGCAGTGAAGGGACAGGGTGAGGAATAAGGAAGCCCCGCACTATTCAGCTCCTCTTCATGAAGTAGACCTCAGTGTATTGTTGGTGGCTCCCTTTGAAACAAAGTTGAACTTCTGTTTTACCGAATGTTTGTTAACTATTTGCATATCTTTTCATTGTCCATTTTCACTGTAATTCTCCCACTGGCGTTAAGATGCAGGTGCTGAGGCACACACAGATCAATCTCATCCTCCACTAATGCATTTATATATTTAAAAATAACCATAATTGCAGGCTGGGCACGGCGGCTCACGCCTGTAATACCAACACTTTGGGAGGCTGAGGCAGGTGGATCACTTCAGGTCAGGAGTTTGAGACCAGCCTGACCAACATCGTGAAACCCTGTCTCTACAAAAATGCAAAAAAAAATTAACTGGGCATGGTAGTGTGTGTCTGTAGTCCCAGCTACTTCAGAGGCTGAGGCAAGGGAATCTCTGGAACCTGGGAGGCAGAGGTTGCAGTGAGCCAAGATCGTGCCACTGCACTCCAGCCTGGGCAACAGAGCAAGATTCTCTCTCAAAAAAAAAAAAAACTGTAAGAGAAAACAGACAGTAAAAAGATATACAAATAGTTAACAAGCATTTGGAAAAACAGAAGTTCAACTTCATTAATAAACAGAGGTAGATTAACAAAACAGTAAGATACTATTTTTCCTTCAAGTCAGTATAGCTTATCTTAATATTAGTCTACATTCATGGGAATGCAGTAAGACTCTGCACTGATATATTGCTGCTGAGAGGTCACTGATATAAATCTGGAAAACCATTTGAAAGGATATCAGTCTTTCAAATGCCCCGCCCTTTAAAAAGATGAAGGAAATACTGTAAAATGTTAATCCTAATTATTTCTAGGATTATGTAATACATTTAGAGTTAGAGGAAAAGATGAACATTACTAATATTTGAATGCTCAAATCATTTGTCCTAACAGACTCCTTTTAAGAAATAACCTGTCCAGGCATGGCGGCTCATGCCTGTAAGCCCTGTACTTTGGGAGGCGAGGCGGGAGGATCACTTGAGGCCAGCCTGGCCAACATAGCAGAACCTCATCTCTACAAAAAATTTAAAAATTATCTGGGCCCGGTGGCATGCCCCTGTAGTCCTAGCTACTCAGGAGGCTAAAGTTAAAGAATCACTTAAGTTCAGGGGGTCAAGGCTGCAGTAAGCCATGATCACACTATTGTTTTCCAGCCTGGGCAACAGAGCAAAATCCTATCTCAACAAAATTTAAAGGAAAGAAATATCCTAAGAAAATAATCAGAAATATGGACAAAATTTTATATGTAAAAATCCATAGAGAAGTTATTTATAAATAGTAAAAAACTGGAAACAGTCTAAATGATTAAAGAATATCTGAATAAATAATGATATGAAATGATGAAATTTTTTGCACCGTACTTTTACAAACTTTTTGATGTCAAAGGAAGTATGTGTTTTTTAAATATGTGTTACCATATTCCAATTGTGGTCACCATTTCTTTCTTTCTTTTTTTTTGGTCACAATTTCAAAAAGAATGTGCATTGAAAGAAAGAGTACCAGCCTGGGCAATATGGCAATACCCATTTCTACAAAAAATATGAAAACTTAATTAGCCCCGAGTGGTAGCATGCATCTGTAATCCCAGCTCCTCGGGAGGCTGAGGTGCGAGGATCGCTTAAACCTGGAAGGTCAAGGCTGCAGTGAGTTGTGATTGTGCCACTGCACTCCAGCCTGGGTGACACAGCAAGACTCCTGTCTCAAAAAAAACAAAGAGTAGAAGAAAATATAACTCTTTATAGCAAAAGTTAATTACTGAAATGATATATAAAATATTAATGCTACTATGTTAATATCAAAATATTAATGGTTCTCTCTCTAGATGATATGGTATTATGAATAAAATTCGATTTCTTTATTGCTTTTTGTCACTTTCCAAATTGTCTTCTTTTTTTTTTTTTGAGACAGAGGCTCGCCCTGTCACCAGGCTAGAGTGCAGTGGTGCGATCTTGGCTCATGCTTGTAATGCCAGAATTTTGGGAAGCCGTGGTGTGTGGATCACCTGAGGTTAGGAGTCCAAGAGCAGCCTAGCCAACATGGTGAAACCCTATCTCTACTAAAAATACAAAAAATTAGCTGGATGTGGTGGCACTCACCTGTAATCCCAGCTACTTGGGAAGTTGAGGCAGGAGAATCACTTGAATCCAGGAAGTGGAGGTTGCAGTAAGCCGAGATCGTGCCATTGCATTCCAGCTTGGGTGGCAAAAGTGAGACTCTGCCTCAAAAAAAAAAAAAAAAGATTCACAAGCTAATCTTGAGTCAGCTGATCTTGAGTCAGAATTTTTAACTTTAGGTATAAAAGTTGTATATATATATGGTTGTCTCTGGGTATTTAATTTTTTTAATCTAAATATCTCCATAAGATGCATTTCTTTCTTATAATAACTTTTGTGGACTACTGCTGTCTCTTTTGGCTTTGTCTTAATAGTACTTATAAACTCGAAAAACTTTGTCTTTGATGACCTGCCATAGTGATATGAATCAATTACCATATTTATGCAAAAGAAGAGACTAGCTTATTCTCCAGAATAGTTTAATATTTTAACATCAGGCATATACAGCTTGTCACAAACACTTTTTATGCAGTTGGATGAGAGTTTCTATAGGATAACAATGCTGTCACTGCATAATAACACCGTAGCATTGACAAATACAGACAGTGACACTGAAGAGTCAAGAAATACTTCATTTAAAGGTCTGCAGCTGGGAATGGATGAAATTGATTTAAATTATAAAAAATTAATGATAGATGATATCAATAAAAAGAGAAGTTAATAATAGTAAAATGTATTAGGATGGAAATGAAGAAATGGGATAAAAAAATAATGGTAACCAAGTGCTAAAAGTGTTCAATTTAGACAAATTAAATTTAACAGAGTTTAATTGAGCAAAGAATGATTCACAAATCAGGCAGCCTTCAAAACCAGAATAGATTGAGAATCACTCCGGGGCTGTCACATGGTCAGATAACATTTATGGACAGAAAAAGAAAGTGAGTATAGAAAACAGAAATGACCTACAGAAGCAGCTGGATTGGCTACAGCTGAGCATGTGCCTTATTTGAACACAGCTTGAACAGCAGAACACCTGTGATTGGCTAAAACTCAGCTAGTGTGATTGGGTGAGACTTAGCTCCTAGTTTCAAGAGTAGATTATGATCTGCTCACACATCCAGTTAGGTTACAGGTCATTATGTGTGGAGAAACCCTTAGGCCAAACTTAAAATATGTAAAGAGGCAACATTAAGCTAAACTTAATTTAAGAAAACTATATAAGAAAAATAAATTGAGCTTGAGAAAACAATTGAGATCCCTATTGTATATGGATTACAAACCCTTTTTTATACAAGCTTTTCTTTAAAGAACATGCCCCAACAAGCAAAGGTTAGGAAACTCAAGATCCCGTTCAGTAATTTAGAAGCCCTTGAAAGACAGTTTGGTTCATATTGCACACACACACAAGCACACATTCTGAGATACTTGGTAAACACACGCAGATAAAAAGTTAACATTTGTCTAGTCTTTAGTCTGTGCTAGGCTCTATTCACAGCACCATACATATGTCAACTTATATAAACTTCACAATAACTCTAGAAGGTGGGTCCTTTTATTACCATTTATAGCTGGAGAAACTGAGGCATGGAAGGGTTCAGTACCTTGCTCAGGACCACAGCTAATTATTATAATAAAAGATAAGAGCTTAGGCAGTCTGGCTCCAGCATCTGTACCCGCCCCCCACCCCGGTGTCTTGTCCCAAGACTATACTGTCAGATGCAAGGTACTGGTATTATTCAAAGCAGAAGGAGTAAAATATTTAGAACGAAAGCACATTTTAAAATAGAAAATGAGAGGGGCAGAAGAGACAAACCTTGTTAATGACCGCTATTTCCTCTCATCTCCCTGGGAATTCATTCTGTAGCAAAACCAGGGAGAACTGTGGAGGAAGCCTGGTTCTCTTGAAAAGAAAGAACATTTCTGGGCTCTTACTGTCAGCGGTTGTTATCTGACAATGTGCCCTTGCATGGAGTGGTTTGTTTGCTGTTTTCAAACTGCAGGTGTGAGCATGTGATGATAGCAGTGCATCACTGATTTTCTGTTTATCCTGCAGTGAAAAAGCGCTAATATAATGTGCTTCCATAAGGTGTGAAGTAAAACACTTTTAATCAAACTTCAGAGAACACTCTTCACTTCCAAGAGCAAAGTCTTATTTCCTTGCTGCTCCGTCTTCTGTTCAGTGTTAACTGTCTGCTGCCCATCTTCAGCCTGGCCGTGCTCAGAAATAAATTGTTTCCATTGGGTCTAGGCACTCAAGGGTTGGAATTTACTCTTGAGCTCAAGCTGGGCTCTGCCTCTCAGTGTGTTTCTTTCTGCCATCCTTTGGCTTCCCACGCAGACAAACCGTTTTAAACTAGATCTGAGGTTGGCAAACCTTGATCCACAGTTGAATCTGCCCTACCACTAGGATGACTTTGCATTTTTACATGTTTAAGGGGAAAAATCAAAAGAGGGTTAATATTTTGTAACACCTGAAAATTATATAAATTTCACATTGTGTCTATAGATAACATTTTATGGGAACCCAGTCATGCCCATTCATTTACGTTCACAATGTAAATGAATGTGGACATGGATGTGGAGTGTGGACGTAAATGAACGGGCATGGTTGGGTTCCCAAAAATGTTATTTATAGACACAATTTGAATTTTATATAATTTTCAGGTGTCACAAAACATTATATAATTATGTCAAAAGTATATAGTTACAGTGCAGACTGTATGGCCCATGAAGCTGAAGTATTTACCATCTGTCGTCTTATAGAAAGACTTTGCTGAGTGAAACCCCATCTCTACAAAAAATATAAAAATTAGCCAGACATGGTGGTGGGCACCTGTATTCCCAGCTACTGGGTGGGAGTGAGGGTGGGCAATGGGAAGATCACTTGAACCTGGGAGGTCAAGGCTGTAGTGACCCAAGATCCTGCCACTGCAGTCTGACCTGAGTAATAGAGAGAGACCTTGTCTCAAAAAAAGAAGAAAAAGGAAAAAAAGAAAGTTTGCCAACTCTTGAACTAGAGCACCCGAGCATCTCAGGCCCCACCCAGTTTGGCCACCTTTACTAAAGATAAACTAAGCCTGCCGAGTGAAAGGCACACATCATTTCACAGAATGGTAACTGCGGGTGTCCCCAAGCTGCTCGCCATTCTCCGCATTCATCATTGTTTAAACTGCCTTAATTGGGGTGACTTTCCTGCATTATTTGTCTGTAAAATATGTGAGCTCTCTTCCTAGAGGTGTCACCAAGCCACATTGTAAAGGAAACAAACATCATCAAGTTACAGATTCCACAAAGAGCCTGTAAATTCCTTAGGTTAGGGAATTTAGCACAAATCATTTTCTGACAGACCCGATACACCATAATATTCCTGTTTTCCCTTCATTTAATTCCCATGGTCTTAATGTTAAATGTGATGTCCATTTTTTTAATGGGAAGCTCAAGAATAAGTTGCTAACTCATTGCTAATATCCATTTTTAAATATAGTTAAAACTTTTTGGCTGGGTACAATGGCTCATGCCTATAATCCCAGAGCTTTGGGAAGCTGAGATGGGAAGATCTCTTATGCCCAGGAGTTCAAGACCAGCCTGAGCCACATAGCAAGATCCAATCTTAAAAAAAAAAAAAAAAAAAAAAATTTTTTTATGGCCGCAAACCCTGTGTCTGCCCTGTTGACAGTTGGCTTATGTGAGCTAAAGCTGGCCTGTAGGCAGTGTTTCATCATCTGTATGATCTGTAGCTCCTGCTCAGGCCTAGAATGGCTTCCTCCACCTGCTTTGAGCCCTCAGGAGCCCCACTCATCCATTCATTGAGAGCACCCACTTGTTGAGCACCTGCAGTGGGCCAGGCCTTGACTGCTCTAATCCAGTCTGTGACAGAGCACCTACAGTCCATTGCCAGGAACAGCTGTTAAGAAACAACTGCATTCAGTTAGAAAAATACAGATAGAGGCCAGGCATGGTGGCTCACACCCGTAATACCAGCACTTTGGGAGGCCAAGGCGGGTGGATCACGAGGTCAAGAGATCAAGACCATCCTGGCCAACACAGTGAAACCCCGTCTCTGCTAACATACAAAAATCAGCTGGGTGTGGTGGCAGACACGTGTAGTCCCAACTACTCAGGAGGTTGAGACGAGAATTGCTTGAACCCAGGAGGCAAAGGTTGCAGTGAGCTGAGATTGCGCCACTGCACTCCAGCCTGGCTCCTGGTGACGGAGCAAGATTCTGTCTCCAAAAAAAAAGAAAAGAAAGAAAAATACAGATGGAGAAAGGTTGGTAAAGATGAGTGTTCAGAGTCCCATGGGAACACATGGGAAGGCTTTACAGAGCAGTAAAGAGTCTTTCCATTGTACCCATTCCATAAATAACTACGTGTGCCCACCATGTGCAAGGCCCTGGGTTAGACACATCACAGCCCCTGTTCTCCTCAGAACATTCCAGTGGGGCAAACACACAAAACCCAAGTAGACAAATGAGTAAAAATAATGTGATATGATAATAAGTGCTAAGGAGGAATAAACAGGGTTCTGAGGCAGAAAATGAGGTGCCCTGTTTTGATGGAGTGGTGGGAGAAGGCCAAATGAAGAGTGACACTTCAGCTCAGGCTCGGAAGATGAAAAGAGGCTGTGAAGACCAACCCAGTCAGGAAGAATGGTTGATGCAAAGGCCCTGAGGCAGAAAAGAACTTAGTGTGCTTGAGGAATTGGAAGCTGGCCAGGAGTTGGAGGAAAGGACCATTAGCCACCACTTTTCATGTGGTGTGAGGAGGGGTGTGGCTATTGTGGGCAAGGGTCTGGAATGGCATGGGTATTGGTGAATGTGCCACAGATACAGAATTCCAGACGGGACAAGTGGGGAAAAGCAGGCTGGAAAGCCGTGCAGGAGGCAGATTCTAGGATACTAGGCCAAGAGATTGCAGTTTTACCCAACAGACAACAGGCAGCCAAAACAGAGGAGGATTTTGTGTTTCCACTTAAAAATTTTTTTTCTGACAACAAAAGTAACTCTATTTGTGGAAATTTTGGAAAATGTACACAAGTACATTAAAGAAAAAAATCTGAAAAAAAAAATCTGGAAGCACACATTCAAAGCATTGTTCACATTTTTATATCTTCTTTGCATATAGATATGCATATAGTTTTCCAAATATGAGATTTTTCTGTACATTCTATTTATAATTGCTATTTCACTTAACAATATAGAGCAAACATTCTGAAAATGTTCTCCTGTGTCACTGCTCTTTTCCAGCACAGCACACAGGTACCAAAAGCTGTGCTGGGAAAGAACAGTGACACAGGAATTTGCGCTAAATTCCTGCGTTTATTTAACCAAGCCCCGGATTGAACACCTAGAATGTTTCTAATTTCCAGCAGTGCTGTGATAATTATCCTTAAAGGGGGTGTGTTTATTCATATTCATAATTGTTTCCTCAGAAATTCCTAGAGACAAAGTTGCAGGGTCAAAAAGTATATATTTTTTAAGTTTCTGTGTACATTTTTCTAGATTAGCTTCCTAAAAGCCTTTTTCATTTTATGCTCCTACCAGCAAAGTATGAGCATACTTTACTGACCAAGCTACTCACTTTGCACTAGATTTAATTTGCCTGTTTGAAAAAGAAAAAAACTTTGTATATCCATTGTTTCAGCCTGCATTTCTTAAATGAAATTGAACATTATCTCCCATGTGTCTACCTGTCATTTGTACATGCTTCATGGATTATTCATACCCTTTGCTGATTTTTTTTTTTTTTGGTGGGTTCATGATTTGGTTACTAATTTTTCTTTTTTTTGAGGCACAGTCTCGCTCTGTTGCCCAGGCTGGAGTACAGTGGCAAGATCTCAGCTCACTGTAACCTCCACCCGCTGGGTTCAAGCGATTCTCCTACCTCAGCCTCCCTGAGTAGCTGGAATTACAGGCGCCTGCCACCACGCCCAGCTAATTTTTGTATTTTTAGTGGAGATGGGTTTCGCTGTCTTGGCCTGGCTGGTCTTGAACTCCTGACCTCGTGATCCACTCACCTCAGCCTCCCAAAATGCTGGGATTACAAGCGTGAGCCACTATGCCCGGCCATCCTTACTAAATTTTAAGAGCTTTTTATATATTAAGACCATTAACCCTACTTGCAGATATTTTCCCAGTCTGTCTTTTTTAATTGCCTTATTTTTTCAATGAAAGTTTTGCATTTTTATATGGTCAATTCTGTCTATTCTTTTAGCCTTTACATGAATGCTTTTCCCCACCCAGAGATGAAGTAAATATTCACTTATATATCCTTCTCATTCTTCAATAATTTGTCAACTTTAATCAGATTTCTGTATTTAAAAGATAGCTGAAGAAATGTGGAGAAAGTTCTAGAGGGGAAGGAACTGATATCAGGAAGACCAATTAACTAGGTGTTGCAGTTGACCAAGAGAGACCTGGCCATGGCAGAGATTCCAACCCTTTCCTGTCCTCAGACAGTCTGATTGTAGAGTACGCCCATCAGGAGTAGCTCTCACTATGTGCAATGATTCTCAACCTCAGGTAGGGGCAGGGGCAGGGGCAGGGGCAGGGGCAGGGGTAGGGGTAGGGGTAGGGGCAGGGGCAGGGGCAGGGACAGGGACAGGGACTCTCAGCTCATCTGAGAATCCCAGTGGAGTTTCAAAGGAGAGAACATATTGAACAGAGGCTCAGGAGGGTAGACAACTGAATGGCTGTAGATCCTGAGGAGAGTAACTGGGACTCAGGTATTTTATTTGGGAGAGTGGGTAGATCATGGTTCCATTAACCTGGCCCATAACAACTATGGGAGGCAGAGCCCTAGAAAGGAGGGGAAGAGCATGGAAGGTGACATAGACATGTTAGGACTTAACTCATTTTAAAAAGGTATAGGTTGATTCAGGTGGAAATATCTAAGCAGTGAGAACTGGGATCCTGAAGCCCATGAGTCTGTAATGGGGAGTGTGCATTCAGAAGCCAGCTTAAAGGAAGTTGAAGCAGTGGGAGTGAATGAAACAAGCCATGTGTGGAGAATAAGAAGAAAAACATGGCCAAGAAGGAACTCTCAGGAACATAAAATTCAAAAGGTGGGAAAGGGGTGTTGAGGAGGAGAAATAAGCAAAAAGGACTAAGAGGAACTTGTCGGAGAAGTAGGAGAACCAGAATGACAGCAGTGCCAAGAGCAAAAGTGTTTCAAGGAGAGGGAATGGTCTTCAGCTTTGGAACTTTCTAGCAAGACACCTAGGCCCTTCATTGTACCATCAAAACCCACCTCCTTTTTCAGCTGCTAGAAAAGGGGCTGACTCTTTCTGCTACTCTTTCCTACTCTTATGTCAGGTCCATTCACAGCCCTGGTAATTGCACACACTGCTTCCTCCACCCACAGCACTCTCCCCTGCCCCTCCTGGTAAGCTGCTCCTCTTTCAGGAGCCACCTCAGGTATCGCCTCCTCTGTAAAGGCATTCCTATTCCGCCTTCTCCAAAATTCACTCAGCACTGTTGTGAATTTCTCAGAGCTCCCTTGGTGCTATAGTTCATCTCTAGTTAGCGTGCCACTTTGTGGGGTAGTTATCTACTTATCAGTGCTTCTCAGGCTGCTCTAAGGGAGTTCCCCCAGCAACAGAGAAGAGTTAACTCAACATTCACTAGGGACGTATCCCAACACAGCCTAGGACATGCTTTTTCCTTTTGTTTCTTAGAGAATGAGGTCTCATTAATCCCCTTACTGGCCCCAAACTCCTGAACTCAAGCAGTCTTCCCACCTCAGCCTCCCAGAGTGCTGGGATTACAGACATCAGTCACTGCGCCCAGCCTGGAATGCTTCTTTTAAAGTCCTGTGTTTTTGTAATTAATAATGCTGTTTTTCATTCTATCACTCTAAATGTTGGTTTTAACTTACCTAGACATCAAGTGTTTCTAGTTACTTATATAAAGTAAAGCTTATTCTCCAGCAAGTTTCTCCGTCTTTGTTCCATGATTTCCCTTACTATAGCACCCTGATGCACATCCAAGGGAAATCGTGTCCTGGTTTAAGAAGCTTCAGTTTTCACATCTATATCTTCCATTGGACCACGTGCGTTGCCACTGCAGTGACTGTTCTTAAACTTCCTATCTTTAGTACCCAGCACAGTACCTAGGGCATAGTAAGCATTGATGTATACATTTACAGAAACAAAGGACAGAAGGAGGAAGGAAGGAGTTGGAAGAGTAGATGAATAGATAAAAGGAAAGGAGGACAAAAAAGGGTAGGTAGACAGATGACCAGATGGATGGGATAGAGCCAAGGAGGGGAGGGAAGGAGGGAGGGAGGGATGAACGGATAGATGGATGGAGGGATGGGTGGGTGGGTAGGTGGATGGATGGATGGATGGATGGATGGATGAATGGATGGAGGAATGAGTGGGTGGGTGGATGGATGATGGATGGATGGATGACAAAGGTTAAAGAGTGAGTAGTGCAGGCCAGGCTGTGGCTCATGCCTGTAATACAAGCACTGTGGGAGACCAGCCTGGGCAACATCATAAGACCCCCATCTCTACAAAAAATACGAAAATTAGCCAGGTGTGGTGGTGTACATCTGTAGTCCCCGCTACTCCGGAGACTGAGGTGGGAGGATCACTTGAGCCCAGGAGGCTGAGGCTGTAGTGAGCCATGATTATGCCAGTGCACTTCAGCCTAGGCAGCAAAGCAAGATCCTGTCCAAACAAAACAAAAAACAGGAAGTAAAGCTTGACTGTAAAGTATAATGAGAGAGAACATTAGCTATGGATAGTTTAATTTCAAGACATTTGGTGGCAGTGGAGGGATAGGGAAGGACAGATGGACTTTTTGATCTTTTGTGTAATGGAGGAGACTTGAACATGCTTCTAGGCTAGGGAACGAAGTAGACAGCCACCAGAAGAGAGAGTGAAAATTTCTTCAATCAAGAAATATTTATTGAGTACCAACAATGTGCCAGGCTCTATACCATGGAGTGAGCAAGATGTAGACAGAGTTCCTGTGCCATGGAGCTTTCATTCCATCAGAAAATAGAAAGGATAATGAGCCATCATCCAAGAGAAGATTGAATCTCCTGCTGATTGGGGTGTTCTCAGGAAGAGCAAAACGTTGTAACGTTAGTCCAGGTCAAACATAATTATGAAGGTGAGACTGCCGAAGGGAAAAGCTACATACATTCCAAAGCCACCTCTGTGTGTGTGTGTGTGTGTGTGTGTGTGTGTGTGTGTGTGTGTGTGTAAAGGACACAGAGAAAGAGCAAGAGTAAAGCTGGAAATGTCCAGTGTGTATTTGCCAAAAACGTTTTTCTCCTGTGATTCAGACAAGGTGTTGCTTTCAGGATATAGAAGTGAAACCAAGGCAGAAAAACACATGGCCAAGTCTTGTCTAGCCAGTTAGCCTAAGCTTTTCTGGTCTCTTTTAAGTGACTCATTTCCCTTTTGTGTGGTTTTCTTAATATATTCTGCATAAGGCTGGCTGTTACCACCAAACAGAAGCAAAATATGTGATCTGAGCATGCACTGCCTCTTGATCTAATCCACTTCTTACTTATATCTGTGTTCATTCTCTTTGAGTCCTATAGTTTGGGACAATTCTACAGACTCCCCACCCCTGGAAGTCATTAATTACCAGCTACCAGCCACTCAGTATTTAGTTATAGTGAATAAAATACTTTCAGTGTCAAAAACTATAGATCTCATTTCTAACTCTAGATTATTTGTTTCACTGATAATATTAAGAAATGACTGTAAATTGGATGAAAATATTCTTAAATTATTTCATCTTTATTATTTCCTTTTTTTTTTTTTTTTTTTTTTTTTTGACACTGTCACCTAGGCTGGAAGGCAGCAGCGCAATCATAGCTCACGGGCAACCTCGGCCTTCCAGGCTCAAGTTATCTACCTCAGCCACCCGAGTAGCTGGAACCTGGCTAATTTTTTAATTTTTCATAAAGACAGGGTCTCACCACATTGCCCAGGCTGGTCTCCAACTCCTGGGCTCAAGAAATCCTCCTGCCTCAGCCTCCCAAAATGCTGGGATTTCAGGCATGAGCCACAGTACCTGGCCCACTTTTATTTCTCCTATTTATTTCTGTTAGTTTAGGCTATCCCCAAATACTTTTTAGAAGTAGGCAGAGTATATTCACAAGTACCTTTTTTATTACCTAGAAAACAAATCTACAAAGAATGAAGACATTGGACTCAGTTTGTGATTTGCTCATTTTAATGTCTGATATTATAGAGGCCTTACTAATCCTCTGTGATTAACTGTGGAAAATTTTGCTTTAATCATTACAACAGGTTAGATCATGAGACAGTGAACACACAAAAAAAAGAATTGCAACTCTGTAGTATTGAAAAAATGTTATGTGGCATATTTTTTTATAACAAATCATAGCTCAGGCTGGACTCAGACAGTAATCCCAGCATTTTGGGAGGCCGAGGCGGGCAGATCACCTAAGATCAGGAGTTCAAGACCATCCTGGCCAACATAGTGAAACCCCATCTCTACTGAAAATACAAAAATTAGCCAGGCGTGGTAGTACACGCCTGTAATGCCAGCTACTCAGCAGGCTGAGGCGTGAGAACCAGCAAGGCAAAGGTTGCAGTGAGCCAAGATTATGCCACTGCACTTCAGCCTGGGCGACAGATTGAAACTCCATCTCAAAAAAAAAAGAAAAAACATAGCTCGAAGATTGAAAATCATTTTGTCTTACAATGGCATTCATTGTAAAGGAGATCTGACCTAACATATTATTAACATTGGGCTTTTCGTTACTTTAAGTATTCACTATCATAGAACACTAAATTAGACAGGTTCCATAGAACTTTATGCTTTTATACTTTTTGTGATGGTTAATAATGAGTGTCAATTTGATTGGATTGAAAGATGCAAAGTATTGATTGTGGGTGTGTCTTTGAGGGTACAAAAGGCTTTCACACTGCATTTTACTCCTCCTTCATGATACTTCTATAAGATAGAGAATGTAATTACCGTGTCCTTCATGTGACAGTGAGGAAAATGAGGCCCTGGGATTCAAGAGACTTGACAAAAGTCATTCAGGTCATTGGAATCTGCATATACCACACACCTTGCCACCAAGTAGTTCCTAGACGGAAGCAGAAGCAAATGATCATTTATGATCGTAAGCCTCTTAGTATGGCATCCAACTCATGGCAAACCCTCTCCAAATGTTAGCTATATGCATTTAAAGTTAAATTCCCACAAACAAAAATGACATTAACATTATGGAAAACAGAGCTTTATAAATTAGAAAGTCAGTGCTATGCCCCTCCTGTGGCCTCGCTAGCATTTCAAAAGGTAGCCCAGGGATTCCTGCTCATTGCTTATCTTTGTTTATATTTGTAACAAAAGATGATGAGGCAGGGTGCAGTGGCTCACATCTGTAATCCCAGCACTTTGGGAGGACAAGGTGGGTAGATTGCTTGAGCCCAGGAGTTCAAGACCAGTCTGGACAACATAGTGAGACCTACAAAAATAATGAGTAAAATTAGTTAGGTGTGATGGTGTGTCCTGTAGTCCTAGCTGCTCTGGAAGCTGAAGTGGGAGGCTCACTTGAGCCCAAGAGACAGAGATTGCAGTTAGCCAAGATGGCGCCACTGCACTCCTGCCTGGACAACAAAACAAAACCCTGTCTTAAAAATACACATTATGCATTTTGTGGAATATGTATTTTTCAGTATAAATGCGTGTGTATGTCTGTGTGTGTGTGTGTGTGTGTGTGTGTGTGTGTGTAAGTCAGCTAGGCACAGTGGCTCACACCTATAATCCCAGCACTTTGGGAAGCCAAGGAGGGTGGATCATTTGAGGTTAGGAGTTCAAGACCAGCTTGGCCAACATGGTGAGACCCCCATCTCTACTAAAAATACAAAAATTGGCAGGGTGTGGTGGTGCACGCCTGTAATCCCAGCTACTTGGGAGGCTGAGGAAGGATAATTGCTTGAACTTGGGAGGCAGAGGTTGCAGTGAGCCAAGATCATGCCACTATACTCCAGCCTGGGCAACAGGGTGAGACTCCTTCTCAAAAAGAAAAGAAAAGAATAATAAATATTTTTAAAAGAATTTAAAGTGGTACTGAATAAGAAGTCAGATGTCCCCTCATTGATGTCCCATGCAACACAATGGCTTCCCACTGGCACTGGGAAACAGGTTTTTTCCCACCTTGGCAAATGTTCATAGAGTCAGTGACCTACTGTGGTCTTTCTGCGGAGCCCAGACAGATCCTAACCTAGTAGCTGTAACCCCTTCTTATTAGGCCCCTTCTCATTTTCCCTTCTCTGCCTTCCATACCTAGATATTCTAGAGGACAAGCTTTTTTTTGAGACAGGGTCTCGCTCTATTACCCAGGCTGGAGTGCAGTGCTGCAATCTTGGCTCATTGCAACCTCCAGCTCCCGGGATCAAACAATTCTCCCAACTCAGCCTCCCAAATAGCCAGGACTATAGGTGTGCACCACCACTCACGGCTAATTTTTTGTAGAGATAGGGTTTTGTCTTGTTGCCCAGTCTGGTTTCAAACTCCTGGGCTCAAGCAGTCTGCCCATCTTAGCCTCCCAAATTGCTGGTATTACAGGCATGAGCCACCATGCCCTGTCTAGAGGACAAACTTTTGACCAGAACCAAATTTCTTCAGTGGGTGATAAACCCAGAAAGAAGGGGGTTAGGGTTCTGTAGCAGCTAGAATGATGAGAGCACTCTGCTCATGTTAAGAACAAACTAAGGAGGCCGGGCATGGTGGCCAGATCACAAAGTCAAGAGATCGAGACCATCCTGGCCAACATGGTGAAACCCTAGTCTCTACTAAAAAATACAAAAATTAGCTGGGTGTGGTGGCATGTGCTTGTAGTCCAAGCTACTTGGGAGGCTGAGACAGGAGAATCACTTGAACCTGCAGGCAGAGGTTGTAGTAAGCCGATATTGTACCACTGTACTCCAGCCTGGGTGACAGAGCGAGACTCTGTCTCAAAAAAAAAAAAAAAAAAAAAAAAAAAAAGAACAAACTAAGGAAATTAAGAACTGGGCTGTACCACTATCCACGTGAATTATTTTTATTTTTGTTTTTGAAACAGGGCTAGCTCTGTCACCAGGCTGGAGTGCAATGGCACAATCTCAGCTCACTGCAACCTCCACCTCCCATGTTCAAGCGATTCTCCCACCTCAGCTTCCCAAGTAGCTGAGACTACAGGCGTGCACCACCATGCTCAGCTAATTTTTATAGTTTTGTTTTTTTTTTTTTTGTAGATTCAGGGTTTCACCATGTTGGCCAGGCTGGTCTCAAACTCCTGGCCTCAAGTGATCTGCCCGCCTTGGCCTCCCAAAGTGCCAAGATAGGAGTAAGTCACTGTGCCCGGCCACTATGATGAATTCTCTATCACTGGAGATATTTAGGCTGAGATCAGACAATCACTTCGGATGCTGTAGAAATGGTTGGTTGGACAAGATAATCATGAAAGACCTTTCCTAATCTGAGCTTCTGTGATTCTACACCAGCAGAAGTCACTTTTATGCCTATGGACACATGAAGTGTGACATGTTAATAATTATGCATATGGAAAAACATGGCATTTATTTAATTTACCTAACTTAGAGCCTCACATTCCTTAGCTGTAAAATTGGGATAAAATTCCTGTCCCATGGGGTTTCTATGCAGAGTAACTTAATTCACGAAACATAATGTAAATTGCCTGCCACAGTGTCTGTCAGGTGCTCAGTAAGTGCTGGTTATCTCTGAATATTCACAGTATACCATGTGCTGTAACATATATGAAAAAAGACTTGATTGCCGCTTTGAGTAAGATGAGTTCTTGGGCCAGCACAGAGGCTCACACTTGTATTCCCAACACTTTGGGAGGTGGAGGCGGGAGGATTGCTTGAAGCCAGGAATTTGACACTAGGCTGGGAAACATAGGAAGATGCCGTCTTTACAAAAAAAAAAAAAAATTTAAATTAGCTGGGCACGGTGGTATAGTTCCAGCTACTCAGGAGGCTGAGGCAAGAAGATCACTTGAGCTCAAGAGTTGGGGGCTGTAGTCAGCTGTAATTGTGCCACTGTACACTCCAGCCTGCTGACAGAGCAAGACCCTGTCTCTAAAAAGAAAAACAAATAAACAGTTCTCCTTATTTTTGTGACTTGGCCAGCCTTCAGTAATGGAGCTCAGTGATAGCCTAGATAACCCAAACAAAATAAAACTAACATCACTTTGAGCTGCACCTCTGAACTTGCATTTGCTTCTTACTGATTTGTGATACTCCCTTTGCATTTTATAGGCTGTAAGCTAATAGAATTTGGGATTCCTTCCTTGGGGTCTCACCTAAAAGGCAGGAGAACTCATATTTTCATATTTGGGAGCACAAGGATTTGGGGAAACCGTATGTTCTTTTTAAGTGAGTATCCCTGGCGGCTGTTCTCCCAAAAATCCTTTGTCTGCTTCTCTAGGAAAGGTGCTGGAAAGGAGCCAGCACATAGGAATTAAAAAGACAACCAGCACCGAAGAGAAATGTGTGCTAAAAATACTAAAACCAACAAGGATTCATCATCTGAAAGCAAAATAGGTTTTCTGTGTGCCCCTGCTTCTGGACTTGCTCACAGCCATGATGGCTCTGTGTTATTTGGGGGTGACAGTAATTATGGAGCTGGAGTGCTTCATGGCAGAGACAGACAGAGCTCCTCGCAGAGGGATGGTTTCCATGGCAATAGCATCAGCATCTGAATGACTTCCTGTCACAACAAGTTGGTGATTTAATGAGTTCATTACTGAATTCCAAAGGAAAACCAGAGAGTGGATGAGCTACTGTTCAGCCCTCAAAGTGGCTAAATCCATAGTGAAGGAGCCCTTTCTACTGGGTGCAGCATCAGAACCGTTAACAGCTCAAGGCCATTACAAAGGCAGCCAGGGAAGGAGACCCAGACTGAATCTGCAGCCACGTGGTCTGGGAAGGCCTCAGTGGCTTTTATTCCCAGAGTGTGAAAGAATCGTATGAGTCTCCACTAGAAGCTTTCCCTGGTTCAAACCCAATGAAATTAATATCACAGGAATTTAGCTCAGGGCTTCAGATGCATACTCCCAAGTACCCCAAGTTCTTTAGAAAAGACACCAAGGAAAAGAAACAGACCTTTAATTTTTATTGTGTACAGAGGAAAGGGAGAAAGCATTTCACCCTACTTTCTATTCTTCAGTATTATACACAGATTGACACTTATGTGGAACCAAAAAAAAATCACCTGGATACTTCAGAAATTGGAGGTGTTTTTCAAGTGGTAAATTGCATATAAAATTTGAGCTGAGAGGTTATGTATCACAATAAGAATGTATAATAATTATTAACCTTTCATACTTTAGTATCTTTGCTAATTAAAGTCTACCATATAGGTGGCAGGAACAATGTAGCCTTAGTCTGATCAATTAACCAAGGACCAGTTAGGGACAGAAGTAAGAGAGTGGTCATGATTCTCCATGAGTGTCTTCCTAATAAGAGGTGGAATGGTATTCCAGTTCTCTCACATTCCTTTCCCTATTAGTTCAATAAATATTTGATTCCTCAAAGTGTTTACAAGCTAATAATGGGGACTCACTACATGCAGAAGGAAGCCTAAAACAGGAAAATAATCTGCCACTGTTTACTGATGCTCCCTGGGTGCTGCCACTGAGCCACATGCTTCACATAGGTTTTCTCAGTTACCCCTGTATAACCTCATGAGGTGAGTATTGTTTCCATTTTTTATATGAGGAAATTGAGCTCTGGAGAGGCTGTGTCACTTGCCAGAGGTACACACAGCTAGGAAGTGCAGAGTCAGGATTCTAACTCGAATCTGACTCCTTGGTCTGTGTCTTGCCCACTCTGCCCTAAAAGAGATGCAGACTCGGGGTTACGGGCATCCTGGGGGAGATGCCAGAGAGGAACAAGATGGAACAAGATGGACCTTGGAAGATGAAGAGATGCCTCTTCCCCTAAGCAGGGACTCCATAGCAATATGCAAGGCAGGCGGACAAGGTCTGTGCCCAGATATAGGGAACAGAGAAAGCTTGGAGAAAGAGAAGTCACAGAGTACTAAAATTACGCATTTTATCAAATATTTTTCCAGATCAACCAATAAGATGGGGAATTTGACTAATTTGGCTATATATACATATATATATGTATGTATGTATATAATGCTTAGAATAGCATACAAGGTAAAGGGTGTAAGTATGAGTGTGTATGTGTGTGTATGCATGAACAAGTGTTGACCATTTTCTCTTTTAATAAACATAAGGAAAGCAATTGCCTGACTGATGTGATACTTGCAAAGAACATGTAGTTGAGTCTTATTTTTCTATATGCGGGTATACCTATTTTCCGAAACATTTGGCATATTTCCCTGGCACCCCTGAGAGGTACTGGTCTATCCTTCTCTTTCTAACATTGGGGATGAGAGAAGATTGCTAGTATTTTCTTTTTTTTTTTTTTTTTGAGACGGAGTTTCGCTTTTGTTACCCAGGCTGGAGTGCAATGGCGCGATCTCGGCTCACCACAACCTCCACCTCCTGGGTTCAGGCAATTCTCCTGCCTCAGCCTCCTGAGTAGCTGGGATTACAGGCACGCACCACCATGCCCAGCTAAATTTTTTGTATTTTTAGTAGAGATGGGGTTTCACCATGTCAACCAGGATGGTCTCAATCTCTTGACCTCGTGATCCACCCACCTCAGCCTCCCAAAGGATTGCTAGTATTTTCTAACAGTACCTTCCCAAGACATGGTCAGTAACAGAACTTTACCAGCCCAGTACTCCTCCTTTTTGGAGATTCCTTTAAAATATATCACCATTTCATTAAGCCATGTGTACAATTTGGATAGTAGAGTTTTTCAAAGAAAAGCCAATGTCATGTAAAACTAAGCAAGCTTTAGGCTGGGCACAGTGGCTCATGCCTGTAATCCCAGCACTTTGGGGAGGCCAAGGAAGAAAGATTGCTTGAACCTAGGAGTTCAAGACCAGCCTGGGCAACATAGTGAGACCATGTCTCTACAAAAAAAATTTTTTTAATTAGCTGGGTATGGTAATGCATGCCTGTGGTCCCAGCTACTTAGGAGGCTGAGGCAGGAGGAGCCTCTGAGCATGGGAGGTCAAGGCTGCAATGAGCAGTGGTCATGCCACTGCACTCCAGCCTGAGCAACAAAATGAGACCCTGTCTTAAAAAAAAAAAAAAAAAAAACCAAGATTTTCTGGCTGGAACGTTGGTGAGCATGAAAATAAATAAATAAGATAATTTTTTTAAAAAACATTTGGAGAGGTGTGGTAGCTCACACCTGTAATCCCAGCCTTTTGGGAGGCTGAGGTGGGCAGATCACTTGAGATCAGGAGTTCAAGCCCAGCCTGGCCAACATAGTGAAACCCCATCTCTACTAAAAATACAAAAATTAGCCAGGTGTGGTGGCACGTGCCTGTAGTCCTAGCTACTCAGGAGGCTGAGACAGGAGAATTGCTTGAATCTAGGAGGCGGAGGCTGCAGTGAGACGAGACTATGCCACTGCACTCCAGCCTGGGCAAGAAAGCAACACAACACCTAAAAAAAAAAAAAAAAGATTTAATTACTGCTTTAATATGTATGGGATTATCTAGTCAGGATTTAGCATGCCACCTCTTAGGGCTACAAGATCTGTGCTATGCACACTCCACAGGTGCCACTCACCTAGACATGAAGCACACCCTGGGGTAGTGCAGCATGGCGGCCCTCAACGTTTTGAATGACTCACCAGATAATCAGATATAATTTGTAATCATGGAATCCCAGGGTCGGAGTGGAGCTAATATGAAATCCAGCTTCCTCTATAGGCTGTGCTCCCCAAGGTGTCCTACCCTTGCTTGGATACCTCTGGGGTTAGGGAACTTGCTCCTTCTAAGGGTTGGCGGGCAGATTCACACAGGTGTGGTGGCATGCATTACCTCTCCTGTCTCAGCCTCCTGAGTAGCTAGGACTACAGGCACGTGCCACCACACCTGGCTAATTTTTGTATTTTTAGT